AAATCCAAGTTATGTGCGGTGCCCATTTATTGGGACATTAGATGCCAATTTCACTGTTTGCAGACGATACCGTCCTTTTCAATAGCCCTTGACCATTAAGGTCCTTACACACCGAGCCGATTTTCGGCGTCGATAGATGTCGGGCCATCGATGAGCGTCGTGTCGCCCTACTCAGATTGGTCTGTACTGCACCGTCGTGTCTTTTCGGCCGTACCGACACCTTCCGCCGCCAATTCGACATGTTGAATCGGGAGGAAATCACTCTGATTGGCTGTTCAGCTTAGCGAATCAGTGCATGAGAAGCGAAACGGAAGTGAGGGACCCAAACAACTATTAAGAAGGCAAATCTGAGATTTCATTTAACTCCAGCTCTCGACACAGGTTCGGGAAAGCCCCATGAGCTTCTCGCTGTAGAGTGAAAATGGAACGCACACGCTATTTGTTGGTTGTTTATATCACGCAGTCTGTTCTTCTTCTCTCGGTTGAATGACGAATACACACTACCGACGCCTGCTGGTAAGGAGAGTTATTGCCACTCACGCATGCGCAGTTCGTACGTGCAATTTGGCCGTCGGCTGAAGTCTTTGCGGTGTGTTCAAGTGCGAAACATGGCCAAGATGCAGGAGACGTCGGGACGTGTTCTTTGGTGTTCTTTAGTGTGCCTAAAACTGATAAGACCTTAGTAATGCAGGTATTTGTATTCAAAATTAAGTTGATGATTAAGGGCACATTAAGGACTTTCTGGGCACAACTGAGCAGGAGAAAGTTTTGAGACAAACCCTAGACTTACGGGGCTGGTTAACTATCCAGCTGCTCTGGGAGCACCGGGAGATTCAAAAAGAAGGAAAAACAGTGTTCACGGAGTAAAACGTATCCCCATTAGAGAAACACTGCTGTATTAACTGTCTGTTCTCTGTTGATCTCTGTTTCTCAGGATCACAGAAGCTACTACCTTTTGTAACAATCCCTGTTGTTCTCCTGGCTGTCATATCTCTCTCTGTCTTCCTGTGGATCAGGTGAGCAGATCTGATCATCTTAATCATTGTTTGTTAAATCATTGGAAATGTGTTTGTTAGAACTTTATCACTTTTTTGTAACCAGAAAAAAGAGGGCTTCCAGGGACTCTGCTGAACCTGAAGTGAGACCGGAACACACGGAAGAGGTGAGAATATTTGTATAACAAATACTGTTTATCTAGTCTTCAAAAATATGTTCTATTGATACTTGTCTTGAAACGTCCTTAATCTTTTCTGTCATACAGCATGATGTTGATGAAGCAGGGATATTTCTTCCATCATACCACATTTGAGTTTTCTGTCCTGGCTACAATCCTCTGAAAAACTATAAACCAATTAACATTAAAATGTATAGCTGATCCCAATGTCAGACAACAATATGTCCAAATGAGCAATCACAGGTAGGGTTGGGAACCCTACCTGTGAGAACCGATAAGAAAATGCCGGGTACTGGGTACCCATACAAAATACACAATTTCGGTTCTGCTTAACAGTTCCTAAACGCGGTAGACCCTGTATTCCACCGGGTCCGTCTGCGCCGCAGCGCCGCGGTGACCCGGTGGAATACAGCCAGGGTAAGGGCCTGTATTCCACCGGGTCACAGGCCGTTCTGTGGTTCTGGAGAATCACAGAACGGCCGGTCGTCAGCGGGCCGTTGACGGCCGGCTCGGTACGCTGACGGCTGGCACCTCCCTTAATTTTGTAACGGCATCATGTAAGTTGCGCTGACAGGCGACAGAGGTCCACAGTTGCCCCGCAGCGAGGCTCCCCCCGCCCTCCCGTAGACAGTTCATGAGCTCAGTCACTTCATAACACCAAAGATGGATTGCGGTAAACGCTCTAAAGTGAGGCTCCACTACACTAAAAAAGAAAAAGACAAGGCACAGTGTAATGCCTGTTAATAGCTTGCCACAGGCATAGCTCAGTTAAAATAAAGCACAGCTATTGTGCAATACATTTGTATTGCATGTATATTTTTTATTTGTAAAAATGTCAGTTAAAGCTTAAAAGAATAAAGATATTTTTGTTATCTAAACGTTTGACCTCTTTCTTTTACAATTTTGGAATCGAAACGGGGAATCGATAAGAACCGGAATCGATAAGCAGAACCGGAATCGGAATTGGAATCGATACATTTCAAACGATACCCATCCCTAATCATAGGTCAGGGTGCTCTGCTGTTTCACGAGTTGTCCTCCAGGTGTCAGTATTGGGTCCACTCTTGTTCATCATCTACCTCCTTCACCATGTTGTCCACTTTCACTGCTATGCCGATGATGAACAGGTCTACTTGTCCACCAAACCCAACAGTACCCTGCTGCCAGGACATCAGGAGCTGGATGAACAGGAACTCAGTGGCAACTAAATGAATACCGTCCTCATTGGCTCTAAAACCAACCTCTCCATGCCACAAACCTTTACTCCCCCTAACCTAATCATTGATTGCTTCTCTGTACCTTTCTCCAGTCAAGTCAAAAGCCTTGGTGTCACCTTAGAACCATCCTCTCTCATGCACCTAACATAAGAAACATCACCCAAACTTCATTCTTCCACCTACGCAAAATGTCCAGACTCCCTCCATCCCTCTCTAGATTAAGTCTTAGTCCATGTATTTGTCACATCCTGTATTGACTATTGCAAGGTTTCCCTCTCCGGTCTGTCCACCAATCTCTTCCACAAGCTCCAAATCATTCAGAACTCGCATCATTACCCGCACAGAATCCTCTGACCACATCATTCCCCTTCTCAAGCAACTACACTGGCTCCCTTTTCAATACCAACATTGACTAATAAAACCTTCTGCTCACCTACAAAGCGTATACCCCCTCCTGCTCCTTCCACTCATCCTCAGTTGATAATCTAACCATCCCCACTTCACACCAACCATTCTGTATGCTGTGATGAAATGCTACTGACCCTGTCCCACTTATGTTTATCCTGTTTGTGTTTGGTTCAGGATTTGCTGTTTTTCTTTTTCGAGAATTTGTTTTATGCATTGAAAGGTGTCCTTGGGTGTCCTACAGGGCATCCCCAAATAAAATCTATTATTATTTTTATTGTCTAGTATGCCACCGTCCACTTTTCCAACAACCGGGCGAATCCTCTTTACTCCAACATGAGAGAAGCTCAACAACTCGGACACACGGAGCAACAGGAAGTCACGGAGTACGCTGCCGTGAAGTTCAGCAGTGCTGCCCCGAGGTGAGCAGCTCCTCACACGGGAGCATTATTCACATATCATTTAATTCCTTTTGCATTATTATTAGCACTAAGAAATACATAATTTATCTCTCAGGACCAGAGGTCAGGACCCTGAAGAGGATCCAGCTGCATTGTACAGCACGGTTAACAAATCCAGATGAACACAGCAGGCGTTGCATTTGAAGGATGATACTTCAGTTTTTTTCAATCCCATTCTATTTACACAGGGTAATGAGTTTTCAGCCTAGTTTTTATTAATCTGAATGGCTCAAATGTAAATAATTTGTTAAGTATTTCACAACTTAATGTAATCAATTGTATATATTTAACATGATTTTTGTCAAAAGAAATTACAAAATGTAGAGATGTTGCAACAAGAGATCTGATCCCTTTTGTTGGAAAATGTAGATATTACTAAGGAGTTATTATTTACTGATAACAAACCATTTCCATTGTTTTGTAAGTACATTTATCTACTTTCTTTATATAATATTTTCCTTTACAATGTTCTTCTTGTCTACACTGAAATATCAACAACTACTTGTTTGTGTTATTTTGTATCCATTCCAAAATACATGTTGTTATTGAAAAGCACATTGGGATATCAGAGAGGAACATGCGTTGCTGATGTAGTTGCAGTTTCATTCTGCTGCCACTAGGTTTCAGTAAAGAGCCGTATTTCGCTGATGGAAAACCATTACCAAGAGCCTGTAAAGCACATTTATCTTTGGTGTGTGTACGGCCTTAATGTTCACACATTCTTATTCTGACATCTGTTTATGTAAATATAAAAGTTCCATTATCACCAATTAAATTGATCATTTCTTTGTTACTCTTTAAGTTCATAACCATCACAACTTGTTGCATTTGTCTATTTTGCTTTGTTGTTACACCTGTTATTCTGACCCTAGTCTTTTGCTCTGTACTTCATGTGTTTACCTTTCTCTCGTTCTGTTCTGGTTTGAGTTCATCAATAAAGGTTGAAATGTTCATAACTCTCGTCCACACTAATGCTAATGATAGCATTAGTGTCACTAATCTGTCATTTCTAAATAGAATAATTGCACGTGTTCACTTGAAATAAAAACACTGGAAACAATATTAAACAAAACAAGCTGCAGTGATGAAAGTGCAGAGTTTGTGAGGAGACATCAGAAGGTATAAAGAACACAGTGAAGGCTGTCACACTGAGTGAGAAGTGTGTGAGTGAAGTGTGTGAGTGAGTGAAGTGAGTGAGTGAAGTGTGTGTGTGAGTGAAGTGTGTGAGAGAGAGAAGTGTGTGAGTGAGAGAAGTGTGTGACCACAGCACAGCAACAGTCCTGCTCTTCACGGACAGACATACTGTTAGCTAACCTTCAGTTTGTGCTGCATGTTGTAGTTTGGTTTAAGTTTGGCTTGAATGAATATTATAAAATGTAAAACCCAACCTCAATGAAAAAATGTTGTGATGTGACTTTCTGTACACATTATGAAACTGTCCAGACAGTTTCATAATAATATCAAGTGATGTTAATTTGCATTAGTAGTTTGTTTAATTTGCATTGTTGATTTTTATTCACTGAACATGGTTTTAGATCTTGCATTTTGGCTGCTTTTATAATAAAGGAAGACATTTGGATGTGTGTTCTCTTGTCAGTGAGGAGAGGTGGTCTGTTTACCACAAACTGGTCTCTTTCTGCGAAACAACAAACTACGTAAAGCAATAATGTGAAGAGGAAGGAAGTGGTGTTTCAAACCCCCTGCTTTCTGTCTCCTTTCTACCTTCAAGCCCACAGAGGGAGGTTAAGGTTCGTGAGAACTCCCTTTATTTTAATGTAGAGGGTTTTCTTGTGGACATCAATCAACTTCTTTGTTATTTTGTCACTGAAGCCACACGGAGACGAGAGCAGCAGCTATGAGTTTAACAGCGAGTGGATTTGTTGTCTTCCTTCTCTCTCTGCCAGGTAATGTACATCCACATTATATTTAGCTTTTCTAAACACTTTGACACTTTACAGAAACATCCCATACAAGCGTACAGCAAACATACATAGCCCTACATTAGTGAAAAAACAAGATGCAATGAAATTAATTTGGAGAAAATACAAAGAGACAACAGAAAGAAGTAAGATTGGCAGAGTTATGACGTTGTGGATGGGAGTTTTATTGGAACTCTAAAGAGGTGTTATGATGATAGGGTGGTTGACTGTTTGATACGGCTGGGGAGGGCGTTCCAGAGGGATGGTGCAGCAACAGAGAAGGCCTGGTGGTCCCAAGCTTCCAGAGTCTTGGTGGTCTTTAGGGTGTTTGCACCTGCAGACCTTAGCCAACTGGTAGGGATGGATGGTGGGGGAGGTCCGAGAGATAGGGAGAGACCAGGTTATGTCGGGATTCGCAGGTGGTGAGTAGTATTTACTGGGAGCCAGTGGAAGTTGTGGAGGACCCGAATTATGAAATCTGAGTCAGGTGGATAAATGAATAGTAGGACCATTTACCATACTTTTTCAGAATAGCATCACATGGGATTTTCAAGTTTAAGGTTAGTATTGTTTTTCACAAGTGTTAACATTCCCATTTGTGAAGCTGAGACCTTGATTATTTTCATTTGTGCATGCAAAATAAGTTTGAGTTTCTTCTCAATAAATGTACAATAATAATAATAATAATACATTTTACTTAAAGGTGGGGTAGGTAATTTTGGAGAAACCAGCTCAAGTGCGCAAGAATTTGAAAATACACAGCCGGAAAAAATCTGCCACTTCCTTACAGAGCCCCTCCTCCAACACACACGAACGCGCACATGACCAATGAGGGCACGAGATAAGTTTGTGCACAGATGGAAGGCTGACAGGCAGGTAGGCCATCCAGTTATTTTAGCCGGGCCGGCTAAAATGATTGGTCGTGCTTTTTACAGTATTACGGCTTCCACAGATGACATTTTTTATGGATTTTTTGTCAAAGCACTTAAGATATTCATTGCTATCGGGATATTAAAAGCGTTTCATGGAATATAACAAAAAGTGTATCTCGAGCCGGTTTCTCAAACTTACCTACCCCACCTTTAAGGCTTCTTTCATGACACCCAAGAACACCGTACAATTCCTTAAATATTCTAAGAGGTAAAAGCAACAGAACAGGTTGGATGTGTGGGGGGAGGGAGTTCCAAAGTCTGGGAGCAGTGCAGCTAAAAGCCTGACCCATGGTGACGAGGCGTGGGATGGGAACAGTTAGCATAACAGCAGAGGATGAGCGGAGGGAGCGAGAGGGGGTGTACTCCTGAAGGAGGGCAGCCAGATGGGGGGGGGGGGGGGGGGGGGGGGGCAAGTTATGGAGGGTTTATTGGTGAGCAGGAGGTTTTTGAAGCTGATCCGGGACTGGACTTGGGAGCCAATGCCGTTGGATGAGGGTGGGGGTGGTGTTTTCAGTGGATTTAGTGCGGGTGATGATCCGGGCTTTAGAGTTCAGTTTGAATTTGATTTGAAGTTTATTGATGAGTTTGGTGGGAATGCCTGAGAGAATGGCATTACAGTAGTCGACCCGGGATGTGACGAATGCGTGAACCAGGACTTCAGTGTTTGATTGAGACAGGGATTGGCGGAGTCTGGAGATATTTCGTATGTGGAAGAAAAGTAGTCCGGGTGATGTTATTTATGTGAGGTGCAAATGAGAGGGAGTTGTCCAGGATGACACCAAGGCTCTTAACTTGGCTGGAGAATGATAAGGTTGGAGGCAGGGGAGGTTGGAGCTTTGGAGAGGTTGGATTTGGTGCCAACGAGCAGGGCTTTGGTTTTGCTGCCATTGAGTTTCCGGAAGTTCCTGCTCATCCAGCTCCTGATGTCCTGGAGGCAGTTGGTGAGAGAGGTGGGGGGGAGGGCAATGTTGGGTTTGATGGAAATGTAGACTTGTGTCTCATCGGCGTAGCAAAGAAACTAGTTAGATTCATGATGAGGAACTTTGTAGACAATGATTACTGCATTTTAGGGATTTTAGGGATCGTGAAGCTTATATTCCTCCAAATCATATTGGTAGTATGATCCATGGTCTCATTAACTGATTATTAACTCAGTCATTAACTTTGATTGATGTTCTGTGTTACAGTTGTACAAGGTCAGGATGGCTGGGCAGTGACTTACACTTCTACTGAGATCTGTGTCTTTAGAGGATCAACAGTGGAAATAAGCTGCACCTACACGTACCCACCCATATGGAAATACCATGGTATCACAGTTGAGAAAACATTCTGGTTTACTAAACTGAAAGGTGGTGAACCTGTAGATCTGACCACAGTCTCAGAGTATGCAGGTCGTGTAGAGGATCACTGTGGAAACAACATCTGCACTCTGAGAATCAGAAACCTGAGAGAGAGCGACTCAGCTGTGTACATGTTCAGGTTTGAAACCAACCATGAGGATGGAAGATATAATGGTTTACCTGGAGTCACTTTGTCTGTGCCAGGTAAAAAATGAATTCATGTTTTGATTACTTTTTATAAAGAATATTGTCTAGATATAAATATGTTAATTGGCATTTATGCTGTGAGTTTGGTCTAATACACTATTCCTGTTACTTCCTCACAAATCCAGATCTCCAGGTGCAGGTGCGCAGATTGTATGATTGTACCAGGGCAGAGCTGAAGTGTCAGAGCAGTTGTCCTATCCCTGGTTATCCTTCTTACATCTGGTACAAGAACGGAAAGAAAATCCAGACAGGAATATCTTATTCAGTAAACTATGGTTTTTCAGACAGCTATTCCTGTGCAATAGACGGGCTTTTGAATCGTTCTCCTTCAGTTTGTAAGTTCACTCCACGGTGTCAGTGGAAACAATTACAATGAAATTACAATATCATTTTTAATCTGAATTCTTCTTAATGTTAATGTGAAATAGCAGTATTATGTATTGAAACAAAACACTTCACTACTACTGTGTGCACGGTTTGTGTTTATTGATTATTGTTACATTAAATGATGCTGTTTTTGAAATGGTGAATCGCTCTGAATTGAATTGAACAGTTTGTAACAGAAGAGGTGTGTAGTGTTACCGTTTTCCATGGTATAATGTAAAATAGAGTTTATAGTTTTTTTGAAGATATATTCATTTTAAAAGATGTATTCATGAATCAACAGCCGGGCGATCTTTATGTTTTAAGTCATAAATCTGACAAACATAATACAACCCCAGAGGCAGGATAAAATCATATTGAACCTGCCGTTAACATTTGCAAACAATTGGTGATAGAAAAGATGTAAAGATAAAATGAAGACATTTAAGAAGATTTTATCAAAATATCCCAATGAAAATATCCTGAGAGTACGAGTTTCACTCCCAACCCCAAAGCATTTTAGTTATAGTGTTAGCAGCAGAATTATTTACGAACTGAAGACTATCTGGACGGACTCAGCTAACATAACCAGCATATAAAGAGAAGAATGTGTAGAGTTGTTAAAAATACAACAATTTCAAAGACTTGTTATTGGATACAGTAACTGTGATAAAAAAAGATAACGATAGTCTAAAGGAAAAAAAGAGAAATAATTATTTAAATAGTTAACTGTTTATGATAAGATATTCTAATCCACCCTAATAACAAACATTTTCTCCTCCAGATACTCCAAAGCTCCCCTCTGTGTCAGTGAGTCCCTCTGCTGAGATAGAGGAGGGCAGTTCAGTGACTCTGACCTGTAGCAGTGATGCTAACCCAGCAGCTAACTACACCTGGTACAAGAAGAATGGAAGTCCAGCCTTTCCTCGTCCTAATGAGAAACCCCAGTTTGTCTTCAGCTTCATCCAGTCCTCTGACTCTGGAGAGTATTATTGTACAGCTGAGAACAAGCTTGGGAGGAGTATGTCTGGAAATGTCTTTATTACAGTGAAATGTGAGTAAAACCGGTATGTATGTAAGGGATAATGTGCAGCGACTTGGTCATTATGGGGAAAATAACACCCGACAGGCTGATCAGGGAACCCGACACGGATCATGATCAGCCTGAAGGGTGTTCTTTTCACCATAATGACCAAGTCGCTGCACATTATCCCGCTTATTACATGGCCAGATACTAAACAAACTATCGACTCGACTCCCAATATTAATTGAAATTATTTTATTAACTTAAATATTATCGTATTTCTTCCTCTAAGAAAAAAAAACCTGCACCAACGGCTGGAACTGCGACAACAACAACTTTACGGCACCACTGTCCAAGTGTGTTTACAGTTTCTGATCCACTAACAAGTCCTTAAACACTGCAGAGCCCATACCGTGTTCCTGTTAGTGTTTACTTCCTGTCTGACTTCTTCTGGTGATTTATCTGACGTCCAGCGCTCCGTCTTTTAACCTCTTTTCCTTTCTCTTTCTTGATCCTCCTTAGCAACGGTCATTATAGTCCTTGACAACGGTCTGTACTACTGGATGAACAACGTGTCACATGTTCTGAATTGACCAATCAGAATCGATTATTCAACTAAACCGTGTAATAAGTTGAGATAACAAACTCAAATCTGTCTAGTTTCTGCATGGGAAGATTTTACCAATCATCACTAATTACATCAGTTGAACTTGATTCTGACGTCCAATTTTCACAGCCAATTGTCTGAAACAATCAACACCTGTGGATTAACAAAGGTGGCCTAACCAGGCCACGATGAGCTGGTGGAAAGGCATGCCGCTCCACATCTGGCACTGCATGCAGGTGCTCTGTTATATGTTGAATGCTTTCCTTCCCCTCAGGATGTAAAGCCATTACCCCTCTCTGGTCAAGGATTAGGGACACAAATGCTTTTACTTTATTTGTAGGGAATGACTTATTCTGTGCCTGCTGTAGAAGCATAGGCTCTGCTGATGTACTTGGCGGCTTTACTAGGAAGGCTGGAGCTTTGTTGCCTTTTATGTGTAGAATGTGCTGACAGGGAGCTGTGTACATGGGCTGGCAATCAAATGTCAACATTTATTGTATTTGTTTTATGTTTTTAATGTCATATACCATTAAACCTTTGAAATCTTGATATCTTGCTCGATGACGAACAGGGTTTCTACAGAAGTTGAATAACATTCTATAGTAACCTCAATTGCCTCAGTTGTTCCTTCTGCTAGTCCATGCCCAAATACAGACCTGGAAACAAATATTAAACAAGTTGTTTCTCTTTTGACTTCCAGATGCTCCAAAGCTTCCCTCTGTGTCAGTGAGTCCTTCTGCTGAGATAGAGGAGGGCAGTTCAGTGACTCTGACCTGTAGCAGTGATGCTAACCCAGCAGCTAACTACACCTGGTACAAGGAGGATGAAGACCCTCCAAAAGCTTCAGGACAGATCTTCACCATCACTGACTTCAGAGCTGAACACCTTTATTTTGTCAATGAAGGACCACTTATTGTCTTCAGCTCCATCAATTCCTCTGACTCCGGACAGTATTACTGTATGGCTGAGAATAAGCTGGGGTGGACATCTAAAAACATCTTCATTGATGTGAAATGTGAGTGGAACGTTGTTTTAAAGCTTGAATCTCTCCAGACTTTGCTGGAGAATATTTCACTGATCTTTACTACTTTCTTCAGCTCTATCGCTTCACATTCACAGTCTGCTGTAATTCTCTGAGTAGCTTCAGGTGATTTTAAGATACAAAGCAATTTTTTTAAGGACATTTATTGACAATCATATCCCAAAAATGTATCGATTAATCCAAAATGCAACATCTGAGAAAGCCATGTAAATATTTAAGATGGACCTATCATGCCATTTGTAGGCAAAAGCATAGCTCTCAGATATATAAAAATATATAAAAAACATGTCTATGAAGTGTTTTGCTCAAAATACCAAACAGATTACCCATTCTTGCCATGCCTCATATCCCTCTATTTCACTTCCTGTTTCAAAAGTGCTGATTTGGGGTATAAATCTTTAAAAAAATTGATAAAATAAAAAAGGAGGGGGCTGAGCTCATGAGGGACCCGGCAGCTACCGTCTAAACTAAATACTGCCGTGATGAAACGCCATATCATGGATTATCAAGGATTATTTCTGAAACAGTATGGAGCTCAAAGGCTTTCTCTCTTGCCGGTTATACCACAAGGTCAGTTCCTTTTTATTTCCTGCTTCTTCACACACATGCTCTGTGCAGTACAGGTTAGCTCTGAGTGTTAGCGATGCTAATGTAAACATGCACCGACCATATTACGTCCAAAACAGTCGGGCATTGTTTCTGACAGCAACGTTTCTGGGCCGTGGGTGTAAAGTCAGCCTACATTTCCGATATTACGTCATATCGGACGCAAATCTGGATCAGCTCCGTTGTAGCCCCGTTTTTAGAGATTTAGGTACGGAGGAAAAGAGAGAGGGTTTTATTTTCTGACGCTACGTGAGTTCCCCGACACACCGGGGATACATATGTATGTATAAAAGACATCAAAAAGTGCATTTTGCATGATAAGTCCCCTTGAAAATGTGAATGACATGGGTCTCTCTGAATCTCCAGATGGTCCGAAGCTTCCCTCTGTGTCAGTGAGTCCCTCTGCTGAGATAGAGGAGGGCAGTTCAGTGACTCTGACCTGTAGCAGTGATGCTAACCCAGCAGCTAACTACACCTGGTACAAGGAGAATGAAGACTGTCCAAAAGCTTCAGGACAGATCTTCACCATCACTGACTTCAGAGCTGAACACAGTGGGAATTATTCCTGTGTAGCACAGAACAAGTTAGGACGTAGTAACTCCACCTTTCATCTGAGTGTTGTGGCAGGTAAGTTCTCTACATTCACCAGAACTGATTCACTTTGTAATATGAAGCAACCCATAACTGAAAACTGGTCACAGAGAAAAATAAAACTATTGTTGTTCAGGGTGTTAGACGTGGATGACACTGACTGAGGTGTATCACATATGTGTTTCATGTTAATAGGGAATTCAACAATGATAGTGAATATCATCAGGACAACTCTGGGGGTCTTGATGCTGATTCCTGGGTTTCTCCTGAGTCTGTGGACGAGGTACAACAATAGAAATTCATCAGTTCACTCACCATTTATTATGTTCACATGCTTCACTCTCATGAATTCGGCACTTGTTGATGTTGTCAATCCAGGAAGAAGAAAGCTCTGAGCTCCACCACTGAAGCACAAGAACCTGTAGAGATAGAGGTGAGAGAGAGCGGACCTGTTTACAAAACTTCCAATACGTCTCGGTTATAAATTGTCCCATAAATGCTCCAGAAAAGTAAGTAAAGTACATTTTGGTCATAAAACAATGACATCAACTAATCTTTTTCAAAATAAAATACACTTTTGCTTATATCTCATGATATATACAGTTTCATGATTAAGAAGCCTGATTTTGTCTTCTCTCTCTTCATCAGTTGGACTCTGATCATGAGTATGAGAATGACTCAGACACTGCAGCACAGACAGAAGACACAGAGGAGCAGGGAGACCTGGTGTGAAGTCCAGTCAGGTTAGAGCCTCCTGCATCAGATAAAACAGGCCCACTCCACATTTAGAGTCACAGTTCCAGCTGTAACATTACACAACGTTTCTGTGATTTTCTTCAGACGCTCACCTGATGGAAAAAAAGAAGAAGGACGTTGCAATATCCCTTTGGAGAGCGAGGCTGTGCAGGATGTGTGCAAAGTGGATATATTCACCTTCAACTCCAAACATTTTTTTATGTTAGTTAATAGTAGCATCAGCAGGTAGGAGTCAGCAGCTTGTAGGTTTAGAAGAAGTGAATCATGTCGAGGTGTCAAACATGATTTATTTTTAAGACCAGCTGATAGTCATGTGCTCTAACGTGCTGATTTAACTATACATGCTTATATGTTATATGTACATTTGTTGATATTACAAAAGTCTAGGATAAATCTTACAAAAATTGTTGCTTTTAAATTCAACATAATAAATAATTTTTTAAATATCCTGATCAGTGTCTTGGTGTATAGCTGTCCTGGCTGAGAGACCTAAAAGCATCACATTCGACTCCATACAGTTTAGATTTGTTCACACTGAAACGAAAAATGAGCCCAATATTAGAAAACTTTGCTAGATGTTAAATGTTTTTCTGATTTGTTTTCCTTTCTTATATCATTTGTTATTATGAGGGAGAAGAAAACAAATCTAATACATTTCGCTTTTCTCCCAAATTCTCACTACATGTGTGGTGATAACTCCATGTACAGCCTGGGCGTTTCCCGGCTGGCTCGCCAAATAATGTCGGAGATGGAAATCATATTTGGGCCAGATTATGAACACAAACACAACATTTTCAATAGTTGAGTCTTCACTGCTTCAAAAATGTTCTGAGTTTGAAGTAAAGAAATGTATTCTTAACAGAAAAAAACTCTGACCGAACGTCCAGAGTCTGGGACAAGACTGAAATGGCTCTTTAACCTGTTAAGCCCTGAGCCTGTTTTTCAGGTCTCAGTCTCGAAAATGACCGTATCTTCCCTTCTAAAAGGGTTAAATTAATAATCTTTTTTCTCAAAGTAATGATGAACCTGTGAGTTGGATGTAGAAAAGTCAGAATCAATATAGATGTTTTTTATTTTAAAGAAAATTCAGATTGAACATAGTAAAAAACTGTAAATTATAGTGTCCGTCCAAAAATTCTTTTTTACTTATAGTGAAAACTACCCTTGGATGATGGGTTAGTAGACTAAAAGCTTTAGGAATCCAAAGTACAACATATAATAAGTACCCTGTATCAAGATTGATGCAAAACAAGTGAAATTTGTCCTTTTTAGAGAGATTTAGCAAAGAAAAACCACTTCTGGGGTCATTTGGGTGGATATTCCATATCTCTGGCCCCCCTTGGTCGATTTTGATGAATGAAATCTCTTTATAACCGCTAGAGCCAATGGAATCGAGGGAAAGTTCTATACACACCAACACGTTAACAAATAAGGAGTGAGAGTGACGCGTGGCCAAAACCGGAAGCTGCATACACTCTGTTGGCTACCATTAGCAGCTAACTTTTTTTCTCAGATTTTTTACATAAAAATTGAATTATGGATTATAAATAATTTTTTCAAAGCGACAGACACATTATTAATGTATGGATTAACCGATTCAGCCGCGTTTTTTCTCGTTTTAATGCCATTGAACACGTCTTTTGACCTAATTGACAGCTACGGTGAGACGATCTCCCGTAAAAGCTCCGTAAAGGTACGTGTTGTGATGTCTGTGTTTGCTTCCCCCTGTCGCGAGTTCGGATCGCTCAGTGATGATACTATACCTATATAATCTGTGGAGTCTCAGCTTTAATCGGATAAATTGTATGTGCAGTTACGATAAGTAATAAGGGTATCTTTATCTTGAGTTCTGTGCTAAGTGCGTTAGCATTTTTTTGCTTAGTGCTAACTCAGAGGCTTGGTATTACCCTTGTGTTTTGTTTTGGTAAAAATGGTTCATATCTTCAGTTAGCTGAGATTCTCCCCTGGTGCTACACATTAATAGTTTCATAAATGTTAAGAAGCCCTGAGACACAGTCTCGAAAAAAAACGTTGGGGGGCCCCCCTGTGTCTGAAAAGAAGCTGATCAGATTTTGGCCACTTTATGATGTCATAATGATGTTTTGGCTTGTGTATCCATTATTATTTTCTCACATATTTAAGTTATATTTATTTGGATTTATGCATTCATGTTGAGAATGTTCCATGCAAAAACGTTATTATTAAAAAGGCGTTTAGTCCATAAAAGATGACTATTGAGATCTATTGTCAGGAATGTTATTCTTATATGGCCAGAGGGCAGGACCTATAAACACTACCCAATAGCATTGTGAGGCTGAACAAAAGGACCTTTTTTTTTTACTATGTAAATGTAGTCTTTTAAAAAACAAAAACATTTACTGACTTTTTTGGATAGCTTAAAGTAATGTTGTAAAATTACAACCGGGGACCTTACAGGGTTAAGGGCTATTGTTTATTGTTATTTACTTTAAGATGTTTATTCTTAACCAATCGTTTAATTTAAAAACTCTTATTTAAATGATGTGTGTGTGTCTCTGTTTTCCTGATGATACACTGAGAGAATGAGCTCATCGTGCTGCTGATCACCATAAGCTAAACAGTCTGTATATTGCATTACATTTGTATAATGTAAGCTTCGTTGTTACTTTGCCTGTGGGAATAAGTAAAAAATAGTTAGATATACTGAATATTATTTGATCTAGTCCACCACTAGCTTAATCCCAAATAATGTAGAGGTGTGTTGTAGGTGCCTTAAATAACCCCTTATTTTATAGTGAGATGTATTTTATGTTCATGTAATAGTGATTTCAATGCCACCCCAAAATGATCACTGGTTCCATCCTGGCCACCCCACTGAAAATGTCTTGGCTCCGCCACTGCCTCTTCATCCTGTTCAGTTAAACTGCCTCATGGTTTCACAGGTTAATGCATTCCTGTTCCTTCACTACACCTGCAGACTGTGTGACGTCCTCAGTGCTCATAGAGATCAACTGTTTTACCCTTATCATTTTAAATCCTTTCTAATGCTTTTTTCAGGAGTCAGTATAGGTAGCTAAACGGGTCTTTAACCATAGTTTATTTAGTTTAAGAAAAGTGTATTGTTTGTTAAACAAACACACTTTACTGTGTAGTGGGTGTTACAGGGTTTGGCTCATCATGCATATTAATCGTCTAAAGAGGAAGTAAATCTAGTCTCTTAACAGCCTGATATCCGTCTTCTGCTCATTGGTGACAGAGGAGAGGCATCTTTCAACACATGGTTCCTCCTTCACTGTGAGTAGAAACAGTTTATTGATGTAATGATTATGTATACCTCCTGTGAACATGATTTAATCTGACATGTTTTATAGTCTCACAGAGATGAGAGGAGCAGCTATGAGTCTAACTGCAGCAGCGAGTGGATTAGTTCTCGTCCTGCTCTCTGTGTCAGGTACTGTACATCTACACTTACATTCATCACATGAACAGAGGGGATTCTGGGAACATGTGGGACTTGTAAAAGCAGGTGGAAATTAGTGGAATAGATTTGTGTAAACGGTTAACTCCGTGAAGCAATACAATAATTGGAAAATTAAAATCTTTCTTTGCCAGGTACCTTAGTTTATGACCCCGTCATAGTCATTCTTCTTATTCATGTTTAATAATGTAAGGTGATCGTCAGTTGTCTTAGTTTGACTCTTGTCACTGAATTTAACTGTGCTATAATCTCTCTGGCTGCTACTTTTCTTAGAGTTTTGTTTTCTTGTTTTTTTGTTTCTCAACTTCTCTTGTGTCGCCATACCTCTGTACCAAAACCTTCTAGTTCCTTCTCTACCTCAGTGTTACTGTATATTCCCACACTCTGAGTTAAAAGCAGTCCTTTGCTCGAATCATTTGCATAACATATCAGTTTGCTTATCACTTTTAAAAGCATTACAATTAGAATATAGTGTATGCATAACTGTTCCATCTTCTCTCTGAAAACATTTTACTTCTCGTTCTTCTTAAGACGACTTAAAGAATTACCAGTTCCGTTTTTATAAATTTTAAGTGATTTAGAGAGATATTTTCTTAGAAGTCATAACATATTGACTCAACTCTTATCAATCATACATCTGCACCAAACCCTTCTAGTTCCTTCTCTCCTCTCTGACCTCAGTGTTATATTCCCACGCTCTGAGTTAAAAGCAGTCTTCTTCTCTTTCTCATCTGTATATCAGACAGAAGCTGCTCACACCTCAGTGCTCTGCATTTATTGTTATTGTTCACTCTTACCTCAGCAGCAACCTGACCACAGAGCGAACAGAGAGGACAGAGAATGGTACAGAGAATCATCACACTATTCTAATTAATATGATCGCTAATCATTCACAGTTCAAATGAACAGTGAAGGCATTTTCCAATCTTCCTTTGCCCTGACTGTAAAACTGAGCATACACTTTTTGCGTAGACTTCTGTTCTACCTGGTTTGATTAAGAAATAACAAAGTCAAAGAGTATCATTGGTTTTAAAGTGCCTAAAAAGGAAATGTGTTATTCTGCTCTATCCCAATACAGTTTGTAAAATGTTTATTTATTTATACATTCTTTGTTGAAAGTACTGTTCAGTCAATTTCTCAACATTTTATAGATTAAAGGTGGGGTAGGTAAGTTTGAGAAACCGGCTCGAGATACACTTTTTGTTATATTCCATGGAATGCTCTTAACATCCCGATAGCAATGAATATCTTAAATGCTTTGACAAAAAATCCATAAAAAAATGTAATCTGTGGAAGCCGTAGTACTGTAAAAAGCACGACCAATCATCTGAGCCGGCCCGGCTAAAATAACTGGATGGCCTACCTGCCTGTCAGCCTTCCATCTGTGCACAAACTTATCTCGTGCCCTCATTGGTCATGTGCGCGTTCGTGTGTGTTGGAGGAGGGGCTCTGTAAGGAAGTGGGAGATTCTTTCCGGCTGTGTATTTTCAAATTCTAGCACACTCAAGCTGGTTTCTCCAAAATTACCTACCCCACCTTTAACTTTGATTATAGTTCCTGATGTGCTCTGTGTTTCAGTGGTTCAGGGTCAGGATGAGTGGGGAGTGACTTACTCTTCTACTGAGATCTGTGCAGTGAAAGGATCAACAGTGGAGATAAGATGCAGCTTCACATACCCATCTACATCACATGGTGGTGTTAACACAGTTGAGAAAACATTCTGGTTCACTAAACAGAAAGATGGTGAATCTGTAGATTTGACCACAGACTCAGAGTATTCAGGTCGTGTAGAGGATCTCTGTGAAAACAACACCTGCACTCTGAGAATCAAAAACCTGAGAGAGAGCGACTCAGCTGAGTACAGGTTCAGGATCAAAACAAATCAAGATAAATATATTGGTCAACCTGGAGTCACTTTGTCCGTCACAGGTATCTGAACATGTCCTTCTAAAACATTAAACATTTTATTTTAATTTCCATACATAAACACGATTGATGTTTTATTTTTATTCAATTCCACCTTTATTCAGATCTCCAGGTGGAGGTGAGCAGACCACACTCGTCTACTCTCCTTCAGTGTCTCAGCAGTTGTCGTCCACCTGGTCATACTTCCTACATCTGGTTTAAGAATGGAGAGAAAATAAAGGAAGACACATCTCCTTATGCAGACTTCAGATATGATTCAGCAGACAGTTATTCCTGTGCTCTGAAGGGATATGAGGACTTCCCCTCTCCTTCAGTGTGTGAGTTTACTCAAAGTCTTCCACTAACATAATAACATTAACATACAGTATAATATATATCATCATTGCACTCATGTATCTATTTACCCACCAGAGGTCGCCAGCAGACATGGCAGTGTCCAAAGACACTGAACCAGGGCTCTCGGTTTTCTGTTTGATTTTAAAATAGGTAAAATATAATCTTGCTACGAGGGATGCTACAAGAAAGAAGAATAAAGGAGAATTATCAAGGAAACTTCTTCCATGATATAAAGGTTAACACTTTCCCTCAAAGTTTTTTAGATTTCTGATAAAGGATGGAATCAAGTTAACCACCCACTCTGTATTTTATTAAACTATTTTTCATTTAAAAAGTGTCCCACTGTGGAATTAAATGTGAAATGGTTTCATGTTATCTCCTCCAGATGCTCCAAAGCTTAAACATGTTTTGCCTTGTGTTTGTGACAAACGTTTTCTGCTTTTTTTTTCTGCTGACCTGTAGCAGTGAAGCTAACCCAGCAGCTAACTACATCTGGTACAAGGAGGATGGAAATGCAAACATTCCTCTCATCAGTAAAGAATCTTGTCTTGTCTTCAGCTCCATCCAGTCCTCTGACTCTGGACAGTATTACTGTTCACCTACAAATGAGCTGGGGAGTAGCACATCTGAAACCATCCGTATTGACGTAAAATGTGAGTAAGACAGTTTATTGAAAGATAACAAGCTTATATCTGTCTAGTTGTTTCAAGAGAAGATTTTACTTAGCTCAGCTTGCTTTACATTACATGGGATCCAGGGAACAAGTGGGTAACAAAAAGTGAACTGGCAGTAACTTCTAATCACATGTTATAGAGTTGCTAATGATGACATCATTGAGAAACGACTGTTAAATATTGTTATATTTAACTAATATTTACTGTTATATTAACTGTCCAAGGCTATCTCTAAATCCTTAAATTCCATGACTCAACTCATCGTTGAGACTTGATTAAGTGATACACTAAACGGCATTTAACCAATGACAAATCATTACTTTATTATGACGAATAATGATTCAGAAATACCTGTGAACAATTAATTACAGTACATATTAATTCATTTACATAATATCTAACGGTTGTTTCTCTAAAATATATTCCTTAGCTACAGTGAAGAAACTGAAACGTTGACTATAATTAAATGTATAATGTCAACGAATGACACATAATTGTATTAGGTTGGTTGAAAGCAATAATATACATTTTAAATGAAAAATATTAGGTTCAAATTAATATTATTGCTTTCAACTCACCTAATGCAAACACATTTCATTTATTGACATAATACATTTAATTAAAGTCAATGTTTTAGTGTTTTCAGTGTACTCTACAAAATGTGATTAGTAAATACTCAACAACTGTCCTTCAAGTTAGGGTTATTTTGGAATGAGTTCCTCATTCAATGCTCTGTAATGACTCGAAATGCAGCTACATTCATTCAAATCAAGTTAACCACCCACTCTGTGTTTTATTAAACTATTGTTCATTTAAAAAGTGTCCCACTGTGGAATTGAATGTGAAATGTGTTCATGTTATCTCCTCCAGATGCTCCAAAGCTTAAACAGTATTTGCATTGTGTTTGTGAAAAACGTTTCCTGCTTTGTGTCTCTGGACATTTGCAAGTTGCCGTTATGTCTACCCTTCCATGTTAATAACTTAAACACTTCTCCTCCAGATGCTCCAAAGCCTCCCTCTGTGTCAGTGAGTCCCTCTGGTGAGATAGAGGAGGGCAGTTCAGTGACTCTGACCTGTAGCAGTGATGCTAACCCAGCAGCTAACTACACCTGGTACAAGGAGGATGGAAATGTTCCTCTTTTCAAAAAAGAACCACAGCTTGTCTTCAGATCCATCCAGTCCTCTGACTCTGGACAGTATTACTGTACTGCTGAGAACTCGCAGGGGAGTAGCACATCTGCAAACACCTTTATTGACGTAAAATGTGAGTAAGACAGTTTATTTAACCTGTTAAGCCCGAGAGACCCCGGTACCGGGGCCCTCCCGCAACATCTTGCAGGAAACAGTGTCTGAGGGCATGTTCATTTAATAAACTATGAATGTTTTATATCCATGTAACGGGAAGAAACTCATCTAACTGATCATTTTTCATCTTTTTTTTTTTTGAATTTGTTTTTCAAAATAAAACCCACAATGCTAACGCTGAGCCTCTGAATTAGCAACAAGCGAAAAATGCTAACAGATTACTGCACCGAAAATCACTCATAAAACCTTATTATTTATCTTTTCTGCAAATCCATCACATCGATTCACATCGTGAGGTGACACAGAATCGATGGGTGCATACATTATCACTCTATGATACGAACTTGTGACTTTATAAACAAAAACAGACATCAAAACATGTGGCGCTAGGTATCTAAAAACCCTAACATGGCTTACCTGTGTCGTAGTCTGGTAAAAAGTGGTCTTCAATGGCATTAAAATGATAAAAAACGCTGCTGAAGTTAATCCATAGGTTAGTCCAATGTGTCTGTGTCCCTTTGAAATGATTTCTGATAATCCATAAGCAATAAAACTGCTTTTCCGTTTCCAGATGTCAGAGCTAGAGTATAGGTTTGCTCTGATGCAAAACTGCATGCGCGAAGCCCTCACCTTTTTCTTTACCATGGCCCTTTCTCATGTCATCAAATGTCCCTCCTCGACTCCTCGACTCCTCGGTCCTCCGGTAGTGACCCGGAAATGAATTTTAGCGCGCCATGTTGAAGGACATCTCATTTCTCGAAATGCACATCGAGGACCGAGCATCGAGCGTCGAGGAGGCTCTCTGGAGGAGCTATAACCGAGGATACACTGATGGGTCCTCCACGGTCCTCCACGGCTCCTTCGTGGATGCATTTCCGGCAACAGTGATGTTTCAAAGAGTCGTGACGCACGGCCGGACTTATCTCAGCCAATGACAGCTCTGCATGCATCCCCTGGATATTATTTTATTAACTGCTTTCATCGCGACGCGATGTTTACAGTGAGAACAGCTGTGAGGTCCGTGCAGAAAGCAGAGCAGTGTGTATAATATATCATATCACTCAGTATAACAGGCCTACTCTCTTTATTTGCTTTAGTTTAGTAGATATCTACAAACAAAGTCGATATTTTTCTAAAACCATTTAGTGCTTCACATAATAAAATACACAACGGCTGTAGCCTGATTATATGCTTTAGGAGCTGTAGGTGCGTGTGTGTGGTGTAGGTGTGTGTGGTACAGTGTGTGCGTAGATGCAGCGGACAGACAGGTCTCAGTTGGTTTGGTGTCCTCTGCTTACTTTTAATACTTGTAAATAAAACTTTTGGCCCGTCATTTATTTCCCTCATTGTAGCGACCAGAGAGGGGGGGGGGATATATCCAGTCTCTGATAGTGTTACGTTATTATGAGAGTGCTCTGTTTGATTCTGAAATTGTATATATTTATATAAATATATACATATATGTGTGTGTGTGTGTGTGTGTCTGTGTGTATGTCCGCATCTGTAGCCTGTTATTGTCTCATTATACCGCACTGTGAATGAATGAAAGTAAATATATAAGTCGTCATGAACACATCTGTCCATCAGACAGAGGGCTGCTGTGCCTCCTGTCATCATTAATGGACGTCTCTTTAAAATGACCGCTCAGAGGAGAGCAGTTCTCATTTCTCTAACCGCCTGCTGCTTCCCCTCCTCTCTCCTCGGTTCCCCTCCTCGGCTCCTCCGCTCGCATCTCCTGTGGGCGGGACTAAGTCTCGAGGATAGGAGTCGAGGAGGGGAGTCGAGGAGGAACATTTGAAGATATGAGAAAGGGCCCATGTGTGTGAGTGGGGAAATCCCCCTTCGATTCTATTGGCTCTAACGGTCAGAAAGAGGTGTCAATCACCAAAATCGAGCAAGGGGGGCCAGTGATATGGAAAATCCACCCAAATGACCCCAGAAGTGTTTTTTTTGTGCTAAATCTCTCTAAAAAGGTCAAATGTCACTTGTTTTGCATCAATCTTGATACAGGGTACTTATTATATGTTGTACTTTGGATTCCTAAAGCTTTTATTCTACTAACCCATCATCCAAGGGTGGTTTTCACTATAAATAAAAAAGAATTTTTGGACGGACACTATAATTTACAGTTCTTTACTATGTTCAATTTGAATTTTCTTTAAAATAAAAAACATCTATATTGATTCTGACTTTTCTACATCCAACTCACAGGTTTATCATTACTTTGAGAAAAGAGATTATTAATTTAACCCTTGTAGAAGGGAAGATATGGTCATTTGTTCTGGGAATGTCATTTTCGAGCCTGAGACCTGAAAAACAGGCTCAGGGCTTAACAGGTTAAAGATAACAAGCTTATATCTGTCTAGTTGTTTCTAGAGAAGATGTTACTTATCATCACTACTTTCTTCAGCTCAGCTTGCTTTACATTACATGGGATCCAGGGAACAAGTGGGTAACGAAAAGTGAACTGGCAGTAACTTCTAATCACATGTTATAGAGTTGCTAATGATGACATCATTGAGAAACGACTGTTCAATATTGTTATATTAAACTAATATTTACTGTTATTAACTTTACAAGGCTATCTCTAAATCCTTAAATTCCATGACTCAATGAATAGTTTTGACTTGATTAAGTGATACACTAAACTGCATTTAACCAATGACAAATCATTACTTTATTATGACTCATAATGATTCAGAAATACAATTATTTACGGTACATATTAATTCATTTACATAATACAACTTCAATTATATTCACCTTTTGGATAAAGATTCAATCCGTCCAACATGCATTTTGTCAAACCATGTTCAAAGTCCTAAATGCAGCTACAGTTCATTCAGCATTCAATAATGTAGATACCCTTTGTGCTAAGCTAGTCAGAAACACATTCTAAATATGTACTGTTCACACATCTCCTCCAGATGCTCCGAGGATCCCCTCTGTGTCAGTGAGACCCTCTGGTGAGATAAAGGAGGGCAGTTCAGTGACTCTGACCTGTAGCGGTGATGCTAACCCAGCAGCTAAATACACCTGGTACAAGAAGAATGGAAAAGCAAATGTTCCTCTTCTCAGTGAAGGACCACGTCTTGTCCTCAGCTCCATCCAGTCCTCTGACTCTGGACAGTATTACTGTAGAGCTGAGAACTCGCTGGGGGCGAATACATCTAAAGACATATTTTTTGATGTGAAATGTGAGTGAAACATTATTTTAAAGCTTTAATCTGTCCTGTCTTTGCTGGAGAATATTTCTATGATCTTTACTGCGTTCTTCAGCTCTATAGCTTCTCATTCACAGTCTGCTGTAATTCTCTTAATAGCTTCAGGTGATTTTAAATATACTTTAAATGATTTTTTAAAAGGACATTTATGACAATTATTACCTAAAAATGTATCGATTAATCCAAATTGATCCAATAATCCAAAATGCAACATCTGAGAAAGCCATGTAAACATTTAAAACATACTGTTGTGAATGACACGGGTCTCTCTGAATCTCCAGATGCTCCAAAGCTCCCCTCTGTGTCAGTGAGTCCCTCTGCTGAGATAGAGGAGGGCAGTTCAGTGACTCTGACCTGTAGCAGTGATGCTAACCCAGCAGCTAACTACACCTGGTACAAGGAGAATGAAGACTCTCCAAAAGCTTCAGGACAGATCTTCAACATCACTTATTTAAAAGCTGAACACAGTGGGAGTTATTTCTGTGAAGCCCAGAACAAGTTAGGACGTAGCAACTCCACCTTACATCTGACTGTTGTGGCAGGTAAGTTTTATGCGTTCATCTACTACCACACACACTTATCAGCTTGTTTGTTTTCAGTCACATTGTCTTGGTAGGAGGCTGAAAAAGGACTGCGTGTTCAAATGTACCTTTCCGGTTCGGGATAGGGGTTGTTTTCTGTCTATGACATAAGGATATAATTATCCTGAGGGTCCAGATTATACAGTATATGGGGTGCAGTCATTCCCTGTGTACTGTGTGAGTGAGAGTTGTGTATACTCAATCGCTCATCATAAAACTAACAATCTCATAAATGTGTTTCCATTTGTTTCAGCACTTGAACAAGTGCTTTTTATTTTACATTATTTTAAAAACAAATGATAGTATCATTAGTCTAGGAATAGGAAGGTTGAAAATAAAGTCTCACACACCCCCTGCTATACTCCAAAGTGCCCCTAGGGGTACTTGTATCCATATATGAGAAACACTGCTGTATTAACCATCTGTTCTCTCTTGATCACTGTTTCTCAGGATCATGGAAGCTACCAGCTGCTGTATCAATCTCTGTTGTTCTCCTGGCTGTCATTTCTCTCTCTGTCTTCCTGTGGATCAGGTGAGCAGATCTGATCATCTTAATCGTTGTTTGGTAAATCAATGAAAGTCAGTTTGTCAGAATTAAAACATTTTATTTATTAATAAACTTTCCTAACCAGAAGAAAGAGGGCTTCCAGGGATTTGTCTGAGACTGAAGAGATAGCGTACAACGGGAAAGAGGTAAGAATAGATACTTATGTCATCAATCTAGTGCAAAATAAAACATGTTACATTCAATTTATACTGAGGAGTATTTCATGGTCTTTAAGTGCTTCTAGAAAATGTATCTGACAGAAGAGGACCACTTGCTGCTCTTTTTACATCCTTCTATAAAAGTAAATTTCTAACATAATCTCTTTAATTCTCTTCTTGTCTTTGATTTGAATAAATTCCTTGTACATCCAGAAATGTTCCTACCTTTTGTCCTTTCCATCATTACCACGGCTGCTGTTGCTTTGGCCTTTTCTGTCCTGGGTCCATTCCTCTGTAAATGAAAATATCTATTGATGTAAAAATGTGTAGCTGAAAGTGTTTTCCTCCCTGCAGTGTGTACCTGATCAGCCGGAGCAGCAGGATGACCTTCAGTATGCCAGCGTTCACTTCTCCAACAACCGGGCAGATCCTCTTGACTCCAACATGAGAGCAGCTCAGCCCCTCAGACACACGGAGCAACAGGAAGTCTCGGAGTACGCTGCCGTCAAGTTCAGCAGTGCTGCCCCGAGGTGAGCAGATCCTCACACAGGAACATTACCCATTACACGATTAAAATGACAAAACTTTCAATACATTAATTAATTTAGCATGAATATTATTATTAATAAATACATTGTTTATTTCCCAGGACCAGAGGGCAGGACCCTGGAGAGGATCCAGCTGCATTGTACAGCATGGTCAACAAATCCCGATAAATACAGCAGGCATTGCTTTTCTTATATTTTCGTGATTCTTTTACATTAAAATCTTTAATTTCCAGGTAAATTAAGATTTGTTTTAAATACATATAGGATGTGCTTCCCCAATATTGTGTCATAGAAACAATTATATATCTTAGAGAGACTTGCATTTATACGTTCAACATTGTTTAACCAATTTATTTGACTCTGATTGGGCCAGCTGCATAAAAAATTGAATATAAAGTGTTTTGTATTACATTATTTAAAAAAAGAAAAAGGCTCACTGCAGTAAAGTAGCCCTAATGGAAAGTATTTCCAGACGCAATGCATTATATTGTAAATAACACTTGTGTAACATGATATTTGCTTAAAAAACTAAGAGGTAGCTTTAGCCACAAACAGTTGGCTTCCCACTGCCATCTCTTTTTGTCGAAAACCTTTAAATATTACGGATTATATTTTACTGCTCACAAATAATTTCCATCGTTTTTTGAGTGCATTTCTCTCCATTCTTCATACAAATAGATCTTCACAATGTTCCTCTTCTTGTCCCGACTGAAATAACTTAACACCTACTCGGTTGATTGCTGTAGCATTTTGTTCATGTACATATAATGTCTTACAATGTCTTTGGAAAATAATTAATTCTTTACATTTTTGGATCATTTTTAATATTGTTATTAATATTCTTTAATTAAGTACAACTATACATGTTTGCTATTGAAAAGGACATTGGTATTGCATAGGAACATCTGTTAGCTTATCTAGTTGCAGTTTCATCCTGCTGCCACTAGGTTTCAGTAAAGAGCCGTATTTCACTGATAAAAAACATTTCCAAGAGCCTGTCAGGTGCATTTCCCTTTGTGTGGGTACGGTCATTTCCCCTACGTTCTTTGTCTTTCTTTTGACCAGTTCCATTGTTCACATGTTATCGAGTTACATTTAGTTGTTTTGTAGGTATATAACCATCACAGCTCATTACAATTGTGTATCATGCTTCCTTTTTCATAACTTTTATAATGACCATTTTCTTGTGTGCTGTATAACATGTGTTTACATTTTCCGTGTGCTGGTCTGTATTGATTTGCATTAATACAAAAGATGTCCATACTAGTGCCATTACCTGTGATGTCAAAATAAAACAATCGCATGTGTCTGCTTGAAATAAAAACGCTGGAAACAGTAAAAAGAAAAAAACCTGCAGTGATGAAAGTGTCACACTGAGTGAGGAAAGTGTGTGACCACAGCACAGCCACAGTCCTGCTCTTCACTGCACATTGTGGTGTTACAGCTACATGCATTAGCGGATCTAGTTGCAGTTTCCCGCTGCTGCCACTAGGTTAAAGTAAAGAGACATGTTTCACTGATAGAAAACTATTTCCAAGAGCCTGTAAGTATGAGTATACGTTGTGTGTAGACCATAGACTGTATTTATAAAGGTGTAGAAACTCCTTCTTCCCACGTGCTTTGTCTGCCATGATTTTCTTTAATTTACCTTTCCATCTTAAAGGTTTTACACATGTTATTACGACTCTTCTGGATTTCATGTGTTTACATTTTTCTTATTCTGTTCTGTATTCTGAGGACTGCAGATGGAAATGAGCTATTAGCTACAATCTGGCTTAATTAGTATCTTCTCTTTTCGATATCAATGTATTTGTGTGCATGGTCCTCTTTGAAATAAATACATGATATATATATTTTATGTTTTTTGCTTTAAAGTGGACCTATCATGCTATATTATAATAATATAGTATAGGACCATACCTATATAAGGCATATTTATACTTTTTTTTTTTCAAAATACCAAACAGATTATGCATTTTAGCCATGCCTCATTTCACTCAATTTGCACTTTTTTAGCTCTGTTTTTGCAAGGGCAGATTCAGTGAGAACAGCACCATCTACTGGCCTGGCATATGTACTACAGCGTCTCCAGCGCTTTCGAACGGCAATGGCCGTGGCTGTCTCCTCCTGATTGGTGGAGTTGGCCCAATAGCCGTAGCGCCACTGTCCTGACGTCAGGACAGTGTTCAAATCTGGATCAGTTTTTATCAGATCCGTTGCAGCCCCCTTTTTAGAGATTTGGGCGTACAAAAGTGCATTTTGCATGATAGGTCCCCTTTAATAAAAAAGGTTAAGATTGCCATAACTCATGTACATAGTATTTCCATAACCTGTGATTTCAAAATAGATCAACACTATCAACACTGAAAACAATAAATAAATGAAAAGCTGCAGTGATGAAAGTCAGTGTCAGGATACATTAGAAGGGGAACACAGTGAAGGCAGACTGTCCCACTGAGTCTTCACTGACAGAAACACTGATCGCTAAGTTTCAGTTTGTGCTGCAGATTGTACTTTGGTTGGGTTTTACATATTTGGATTTTTTAAACAGTGACTTTATGAAATGAACTTTCTCCTTGAATTTGTATTTAACAGCCCATATCATTATCATTATGGAATGTAAAACTTTAATGATTCCTTAATGATAAAGAGTTTTGATATGACTTTTTGCAGACAGTATTCATGCATGCATTTTTTGAGTCATGGAGTGAAGGCAGTTTTATTGAAGTGTAAAGTGATGTTGCAAACTTTTCATTTTTTCTTTGGGATCTTAGTTAATGTGTGCATTGTTGAGATTAAATTAGTTCATGTGTGCATTGTTGAGATTAATTGACAGAACATTGTTGTAGATCTTGAATTGTGGCTGCTGTTTAAAAAAGGAAGAGTTGAGAAATAATCTTCTCTTGTTAGTCTGGGCCGGTGGTCTGTTGTTGATGATACACGTTCACCACAAAACTGGTGTCTTTCTACGAAACAACAAACTTCTTAAACTAATACTGTGAAGAGGAAGGAAGTGGTGTTTTTACCCACCTGATCTGCATCGCTGTTCTACTTTCGAGCCCAGAGAGGGACATTAAGGTTCAAGATACATTTGATGTAAAGGTGTTTTTTTGTGGAGATCGATCGTCTTCTTTGTTTCTTTGTCATTGACGCCACACGGAGAGGAGATAGTTATGAGTTTAAAAGCGAGTGGATTTGTTTTCTTCCTTCTCTCTATGCCAGGTAATGTATATCCACATTTACATTTTAGGACAATCTACCAAACTTATTCAGAGCAGCTTTAAATAAGATTTGGTGAGGGATATGAAAAACACCTGATTCAATGATATTCTCCAGTTAATCAAGAGTTAGAAAGAGGCATGATGAGGAACTTTTTAGACAATGACTTCTGCTATTTGGGGATCTTATAGCTTGTTCAGGTTACATGTCCTCCAAATGATATTGGTAGTATGATCTTTTTCTCATGAAACTGATTCTTTACTTAGTCATTCATTTTGATTGATGTTCTGTGTTACAGTGGTACAGGGTCACGATGGCTGGGCAGTGACGTACACTCCTACTGAGATCTGTGCATTTAAAGGATCAACAGTGGAAATCAACTGCACCTACACGTACCCAGCCATATGGGAATACCAGGTTATCACAGTTAAGAAAACATTCTGGTTCACTCAATTGAAGGATGATGTATTTGTGGATCTGAATACAGACCTAGAGTATACAGGTCGTGTTGTGGATCAATGTGAAAACAACATCTGCACTCTGAGAGTCTCAGACCTGAGAGAGAGCGACTCAGCTGAGTACAAGTTCAGGATTGAAACCAACCATCAAACTGCAAGATGGGCTGATTTACATGGAGTCACTTTGTCTGTGCCAGGTAACAATTGTATTCACGTTATTATTCGTTTTTATAAAGGCAAGGCAAGGCAAGGCAAGTTTATTTATAGAGCACCTTTCCGCACAGGGCAACCCAAAGTGCTTTACAAAATAAGATAAAAGACATTTAAGAACAGTATACAGATGAAGCACATTAGAAAAAAGCATTTAAAAAGCAAAGATAATAAAATCAACACAACAAGTATAAAATACATGGATAAAAAGCCATACTGCAGTTAAAATGTGAACAACTCATCCAAATGCAGCGTCAAAAAGAAACGTTTTTAGTCTTGATTTAAAAATATCAACAGTTGCAGCTGACCTGCAGGATTAAAGTAATTAAAGTAAAATCCTGCTATAAATACGTTTATTTGCATTTATCTTGAGAGTTTGGTCCAACACAACATTCCTGTTTCTTCATTTCAAATCCAGATCTTCAGGTGAACGTGCACAGATCTGATGAAACCTGGTCAGAGCTGAGGTGTCAGAGCAGTTGTCAAATTCCTGGTTATCCTTCCTACATCTGGTACAAGAATGGAGAGAAAATTCAGACAGGAACATTTTCTTTTGCAGTTGACTATGATCCTGCAGACAGCTATTCCTGTACTGTAAACGGACATGAGAATCACCGTTCTCCTCCAGTGTGTAAGTTAACTCCACTGATAGTGGAAATAATTACAATGGCATTATCATTTCATATGTAACCTCACTGGAGTCTTCTAAATATTAATGTTGCACAGCGGTATTATCAACACATCCTCACTCCCGGGTCGGCGTATGTTGACGTTATGTCAAGGTCCCCTGTGGTCTTTTTCCAACGCAAGGGGGGCGGCCCTTAGCGTACATTTTCAACTTTCCGGGATGTACATAGGCTTCTATATAGCTCCCTAAACGTATGTTGTAGACGACTTGAGATCGCGAGTGAATGCTTCCCGCTGCGGGCCATTCTCTGCTGAAGCATACGTTGCGAGACTGCATTGCATTAAAAACATTATGCTCTCTATATATTGTCTTTATTATGCTTTAAACAGTGTCTCAGGCGTTGGCTATAGGGCGGTGTAGGTACCATATCTTCACGGCCTACCAGATCAGCACAGGGTCCGTTACGCGTACTAATTACGTCACGCATTGGCTGTACGCTGTCACTACCCGATCTGCCGCCCTGCCCTATCTGCAGTGCGCATGTGCGAGATGGTCCGCCATATTGCACAACTCCGTACGGCAACCCAACTAGGACACTTGACACAGTGGCATTTGGCAAAGCACACAAAGAAAACTCCGAAAACCGAGAGAGATGAGTTATTGTTATTACAACGTGACTTCACTATTATTTAACAACTCTTTTTATTGGGTTCCTTTATTTGGGGTTAAGTACATTGTCAGAATAAGTGAGAAATGGATTTAACTTCTGTTAGACAGCTATATGCTATACATGTTTGCATACATTCACAGTAAATATTTATTCAGTATATTTAATACTTTTAATACCACATTACGTCACACGTTTGATGCGCGCCCGTGATTGAAAATCTCTTTATTTAAAAAATACGGGGAATACGGATCTCGGGGTCTCCCTGCTCCCTGTGCGCAGATGCGACGCGTCATATGACGTCACATGTTTGGCATGTCTCGATTGAATATGCTTTATTTAAAACAAAAACAAGGACAATAAACAAAGCAGTCTTCACAACGGCCGGACAAAATACTTTGAGCCACCCTATAGCCAAAGCCCGAGACACTGTTTAAAGCATAATAAAGACAATATATAGAGAGCATAATGTTTTTAATGCAATGCAGTCTCGCAACGTATGCTTCAGCAGAGAATGGCCCGCGGCGGGAAGCATTCGCTCGCGATCTCAAGTCATCTACAACATACGTTTAGGGAGCTATATAGAAGCCTATGGGCAAGTTGAAAATGTACGCTAAGGGCCGCCCCCCTTGCGTTGGAAAAGACCACAGGGGACCTTGACATAACGTCAACATACGCCGACCTGGGAGTGAGGATGTGTTGGTATTATCTATAGAAAAAAACCACCTCACTACTAACAGTAAAAGCAATATTCAGATTCATGTTGTGATGCAACATTTTGCATTTTTCCTTCTGTGTTTGTGGTTCTTTACTTTTAGACGAGAACTACTATATCAATCTGGATGTTACATTTAACGGTTCTGTTATTAAATGGCAAACAGCTCTGAATTTAATTGTACAGTGTGTTACTGAGACTGAATATATATTCAGTTTTACCATTTGGAAAGGTAAAACTTTAAAATAGAGTTTCCAGTCTTTGAAGATGTATACATGACAGACTCATCAACCAAACAGTCTTGGTTACCAGACGTTACCAGTTATTAATCTGAACAATCATAGGTGCTTTTACAACCCCAGGCTCGATACAATGAAATTAACCTAGCTGGTAATATTTGCAAACTATTGGTGATACAAACGATTTCAGTGTAAAGACATCCAAGAAGATGTTTTTGTTTTTTATCAGGACATCCCAATGAAAATATTATGAGAGCTTAATGTTCACTCCTATCTCTAATGAATTTACAGTTAATAGAATAACAGTCTAGCATAATAATGTAAATAGTCATCTGTCTATGATAACATAATCTAATCTCAACATCCATTTTCTCCTCCAGATGCTCCAAAGCCTCCCTCTGTGTCAGTGAGTCCCTCTGCTGAGATAGAGGAGGGCAGTTCAGTGACTCTGACCTGTAGCAGTGATGCTAACCCAGCAGCTAACTACACCTGGTACAAAGAGAATAAAGACTCTCCAAAAGCTTCAGGACCAATCTTCAACATCACTGACTTCAGAGCTGAACACAGTGGACATTATTCCTGTGAAGCCAAGAACATATTAGGACGTATTAACACCACCTTGCATCTGATTGTTGTTGCAGGTACGTTTATCCAAGTATCCGTTGTCAACCACTTATCGGTAACCAAACTTCCCTTTTCCTACCCACATCAAACAGCTTTAACAGTGGATTCCAACGCGCTCCCAGGCCAGAGTGGAGATATAATCCCTCCACCTGGTTCTGGGTCTGACCCTCATTCTCGTTCCAGCTGGACGTGTCGTATCGGCAACCACCTCAACGGGCTCCTTTCTACTAGCTGCGGCTTGACTCTGAGTCCCTCCTGCATGACTTTACTTCTCACCTTATCCCTAAGCGAGATGCAAGCCATACTCCGGAGAAAACCCATTTTGCCCCCTTTGTGTCCTCAATCAAGTTATTTCGGTCATGACCCATCCTCATGACCATATGTTAGAGTAAGACAAAATATAGACCAGTAGATTGATCTGGCTCAGCTCTCTCTTCATCACAATGGTGCATTAAATACCCAATATTCCCGCAGCACCTTCCAAAGTATCTCCCTGGGAACCCAGTCATATGCTTTCTTCAAATCCACACAAAACATGTAGACCAGATATAGGCATACTCCCAGGCCCAGAGTAAAAAACTGGTCCGTTGTTCCATGACTAGATGAGAATCTGCGTAGTTTGTCTTCCATCTGAGGTACGACTTTCGGCCAGTACCTCGTTTCAACAAACTTTCCTGGGAAGGCTGGGTAGTGTGATGCCTCTGAAATGTACAAATACCCTTTTTTGATCTGGTCTGCCACTCCTTCTGTACTGTCCCCGACTTTCATGCAATGTTGATGAGACGGGTCAACCATGACAGTCCCTCAACAACCACAGCATTCAGCATTTCTTAACGGATTTCATCAACCCCTGTGGATTTGTCACTGTGGAGTTGTTTATCTACCTCAGTGACCTCAACCAGAGAGATTGATGGTCATCCCCCCATCACACTCCAGCTCTGCCCCTACCATAGACGGGGAATTTATGGGGTTCAAGAGTTCCTCAAATGTTCCTTCCACCCCCTATTAGTTGAGGTCAAAAACATCCGATCCTTCCTATATCATGTACAGCTTGAGATGGTTCCCTTGTTCCCCCTTTTAAGCTGGCAGACCGTTTTCCCAAACTGCTTTGATGCTGACCGAAAGTCCTTCTCCGTGGCTTCTTGGAACTCCTTCCACACCTGTTGCTTTGCCTCTGACATGGCTGCACTAACTGGTACACCAAATTTAAAAATGTCAGTGTTCTCCATGGTTTCAGAGGTGGATGAAACTGACAAAGTAATTTGTTTATGTACTGTATAACATTTTTGTTAATGATTCCAGAAATGTCAACGATGATAGTGAATGTCATCAGGATTACACTGGGGTTCTTGATTCTGATTCCTGTGTTTCTCCTGAGTCTGTGGACAAGGTACAACAATAGAAATCCATTAGTTCATTCACATTTGTTTAAACCTCTTATAACATCATTACATTGTATAGTTATTCATTCAATTCTGTATTTGTTGTTGTAGGCAATCCAGTAAAAAGGAAACTCGGAGCTTCCCCACTGAAGCACGTGATCCTGTGGAGATAGAGGTGAGAAGCCTATTAACAAAACTTTCACTATGTCACTATTAGTTATTTGAAGAAAGTCTGAAGTTAATGTAGGTTTCAAATCCATCTTGCAGAAACTCATAATGCACTTGGTCATGAAACTATGTGATCAAGTAATCTACTTTTAAACATGATTTAGTAAAAAAAGAGCAGTTCCTAATTTTGTCTTCTCTCTCTTCATCAGTTGGACTCTTTTCCTAAGTATGAGAACGACTCACACACTGCAGCACAGACAGAAGACACAGAGGAGCAGGGAGACATGGTGTGAAGTCCAGTCAGGTGAGAGCCTCCTGCATCAGATAAAACAGGCCCACTCCACATTTAGAGTCACAGTTCCAGCTGTAACTTTACACAAAGTTTCTGTGATTTTCTTCAGACGCTCACCTGATGGAAACAAAGAAGAAGGACATTGAAATATCCCTGTGGAGAGCCAGGCTTTGCAAGATGTGGGGAAAGTGAATACATTCACCACTCCCAAAGGTTTTTATTATCAGTTTTCAGTAGCAGCAGCAGAAAGGATTCAACAGCATGTACGTTTAGAATAATGTGTTGCTGGCAGCTTGAACTCAATCAGGCTGAGGTGTCAAACATGACTTATTGTTAGGGTCAGCTGATGGTCAGGTGCTCTGTATTAATGCTTTAACTTTGCATGCTTATTGTTTATCTGTTGAGTAGGTGATATTGCAAAAGTCCCAGATTAGAGTTCTAGTTTTAGAAATCCTACATAATAAATACATTTTGAAAAATCCTGATGGGCTTATTGGTTTGGACATAGCCTATAAAGTCTGTGCAAAACAGAGAGTGACCTGAAAACATCACATTTTACAATACAGTGTTGATGAAACAGACAACAAGTGAAGGACCATTGAAAAGAAAAGTTTCAATTTGAGATTCTCCTTTTCTTTATTTTCAGAATAATATCTGAATAATATACATGTATATATAAACTTTCCACATAATTACATTTCAAATGATTGTCACATTGGTTTATTTCTCACATTCACATACATTTGTATCGCCGTGAGGATGAAACGAGCCAAAGCATGATGATAACAATATGTTGTTTTTTTATTATAATACTGTCAGTACTGCACATCCCTCTGTATTCAGCACATTGCACATTGTGACTGCACATATTTTATTCAAATTGTATTTCTACCAATAAGCCTATATTTTAACCATATTCAATGTAAATATTGCTACATTTGTTCATGTTATTATAGTTTTCTTAAAATCGTTTTTTAGCTGTGTTTTTAATTTTTGTTTTATTTGTATGTATGTTTATGTATGCACCATAACACCAAGTCAAATTCCTCGTATGTGTTAACCTACTTGGTAATAAACCTGTTTCTGATTCTGATTTATGATGATCCAATATCAGGATGCACAAACAAAGTTTTCTGCTGAGTATCTGATTCAATTCTTGATTCATGAAAAACACATTGTTTTAAAATAAATAAATTCTTTGGCAACATGTCTGTGACTTCATCAGTGGAAAAAGTGTACATTCCCAAACATATGACCTTTAATGTTTCATCGATTAAATGTCCAGGGTGAACGACTAAACATGGCAAGGTCCTGATTCAGTATGTGATGTTTCACTGTCCTCTCGTGGGGAATCTTAAGTGTGGCACATTCAGTCTTCATCACTCCACTGTCTGCTTTAAAGGGCCAGTTCAACTAAAGTACAAGAAGACTTGGGATTGTTATAGAGTTATAACAGTAAATCTTAACAGTGGAAATGTTAAATAAAAAAAAGTATATAATAAAAATAATCTGGGAGAAAAGCGTTTATACACACTGAAAATAAATGTATATGTCAGGGTGTAGTTTACACCAGTAAAATACGGCTCTTCACTAAAACCCAGTGGTAGAAGCATGAAACTGCAACTAGATCAACTAATGCTTGTTCCTCTGAAACACCCAGTGTAATATAAATAGCTAAACATATCTTGTGATTATAAAAAATGTTTATTAGAATATTGAAAACAGTACAAAAATGTTATATCTAACCGGCGGAGTTGTTCACTACTGTACGTTATCGTTAAGGAGCACCGTTGTTACAGATGGGTCCTAGTATTGATTGTATTTTGTTTTTGATTGTTTGTGATGTTTAGCAGGTACACTTATTGATGTTTTATTTGGGTATCAATCCATACATTCTTTATGTTCACTATGTTTCTTCAACATGGTCATTTATATTGTGGGAGATATGGATGTGCAATATTTCAAGGCATTCCATCCAACTGTAGTTGCGACATTTCATATGAAAGGTGAAGTAATCATCAAAATCATTAGGGTTTATTCTGTAAGGATACATATCTGTACCAAATGATATAACGAACCATCTAAAGGGTTAGGGCACAATAAAACAAACATTTCAGAAGAACGTATTTCCGTCAGTACAAGAAGAACATGAATACATATTGTAAAGTGAAATGAGAGATATGTACATAAGCCAGTAAGCTATTGCTTTTTTTTTAACACAAAGATCATGTAACACAAGTTATATTTAAAAAGCAGCAGTCTTGAAATACTTGAAATGAATAACAGCTTACCCATTCACAGTAAAAAAGAAAGAAAAGCTGAATACTTGATATAATACAATTTAAGTTTCTCTAAGATATTAAATTGTCTCTTTGGCACATTCTTGGAGAGGCTCATCCTGAGAAATATATTTGAGAAATGTATATTAACCTGCGTAAATACATTATTGACAGTGAACAGAAGTATCACACTTCAATTGGAAAGCCTACTATGTTCAGTGGATTTTGGTGATCACGCTGTACAATTCAGCTGGATCCTCTGGTCTGGTCCTGAGAAATAAACGATAATAGCCATACAAAATCAGTGAATATATTACAAAGTTATGACATGGGGTAATGTTCCTTTGTGAGGATCTGCTCACCTCGGGGCACGACTTTTGAAGTTGACGGCAGCGTACTCCGTTGCTTCCTTTTGCTCCGTGTGTCCGAGGTGTTGACCTGCTCTCATGTTGGAGTAAAGAGGTTCTGCTCGGTTGTTGGAGAAGTGAACGCTGGCATACTGAAGGTCATCCTGCTGCTCCGGCTGTCCCTGATCCGGTAGAGGCTGCAGGGGTAAAAACACTTTCAGCTACACATTTTTACAAAATAATAGGTATTTATTTTACAGAGGAATCCATCCAGACAGAAAAAGGCCAAAGCAACAGCAGCTGTGGAAATGGTGGAGACATTTCCCTGCTTCATCAACATGATGCTTTGTGAGAGAAAAGATTAAAGGACAAAAAGTAGGAAAACTTTGGAATGTACAAGGAATTTATTTACATCCAAGACAAGAGGAGAATTTAAGGGATTGTGAGATGAATATGTTTATGTTGGTACTAATTGATGACATATGTATATACTCTCACCTCTTCCCTGTTGCCTGGGCTCTGCTCGAGCTCAGACGAGTCTCTGGAAGCCCTCTTTTTTCTGGTTAGCAGATTATATTACAAATAAATGATCAAATGTTTTAGTTCTGACAAATTCATTTTCAATGATTTAACAAACATTGATTAAGATGAACAGATCTGCTCACCTGATCCACAGGAAGACAGAGAGAGAAATGACAGCCAGGAGAACAACTGGGATTGTTACCAAAGGTAGTAGCTTCCATGATCCTGAGAAACAGTGATCAACAGAGAACAGATGGTTAATACAGCCGTGTTTCTCTAATGGGGGTATACGTACGCTGAGTGGTACTTTGGAGTACTGCAGGGGGTGTGTGAGGTTTATTTTTCTTGAATGATAAATGTTACATAAAAAATGTATTCAACACTGTAAATAAAAAACATTTTATATTCAATGTTAGAGTGCTGCAACAAATGCAGATGTGAAAACAAGCACGCTTTGTGGTTGTAGCTGAATGCATAAAATGTACCTTTCACAACAATCTGATGTAAGGTGGAGTTACGACGTCCTATCTTGTTCTGGGCTTCACAGGAATACTTCCCACTGTGATCAGCTCTGAAGCCAGTGATGGTGAAGATCTGTCCTGAAGCTTTTGGAGAGTATTCATCCTCCTTGTACCAGGTGTAGTTAGCTGCTGGGTTAGCATCACTGCTACAGGTCAGAGTCACTGAACTGCCCTCCTCTATCTTAGAGGGACTCACTAACACAGAGGGAAGCTTTGGAGCATCTGGAGATTCAGAGAGACCCATATCAATCACATCAGGATGTGATGTATGTTTCAAATGTTAAAATGGCTTTGTCACATGTTGCATTTTTGAGTTATGGCCTGCACTTTGTGGAGCAACACTTTTCAATACTATAATTTCTTATTAAATATACAACGCCAAATGAATATTAAACTATTTATTTCATTGTTGTCAACAAATAAAGAGTAACAAGTGACCCAAGAACTTTCCAGCTACATGGCATGCATCCTTTACTGCTGGGTCGCCGTCTCATCAGAACTGATGATGTTTTATACTCACACTGGACATCTACAGAGAGAGAAGAAGACTTGATCTCTCCATATTGATTCTCAGACTTGCAGTAGTAGATCCCTCTGTCCTCAGAGCTGATGGAGAATAAATGATAACTTCCTTCTGCTCCCTGAAACACTGTTTGGTTGTTCTTGTACCAGGTGTAGTTAGCTGCTGGGTTAGCATCACTGCTACAGGTCAGAGTCACTGAACTGCCCTCCTCTATCTCAGCAGAGGGACTCACTGACACAGAGGGGAGCTTTGGAGGATCTGGAGGAAATACAATAAATTAACAAAAATGAGTAAAAATACATTATGTTGATTGAGCTAAAGAAAGCAATTGTGTTGTATATATATATTTAGTTTCCTGTATTACTGCTGGTTTGAATATCCTGGACATACGTGCAGATTTGGGAGCCATTTGTAAACAAAACTTCATTTTCATCCTCTACTGTAGCTGCTCTCCATCTCATTGACCTACAGCAGCAGACTGTGAACAAGTTGCCATTGGGTGCATGATGCTTTTTAAATCATCTGGGTTTTACTCACATTTCACATCAATGAAGATGGGATCAGTTGTTCTACTCCCAACCAGATTCTCAGCTCTGCAGTAATACTGTCCAGAGTCAGAGGACTGGATGGAGCTGAGGACGAGACGTGGTTTATCACTGAAAGGAGGAGGAAGGTAAGAAGATACATTCTTCTTGTACCAGGTGTAGTTAGCTGCTGGGTTAGCATCACTGCTACAGGTCAGAGTCACTGAACTGCCCTCCACTATCTCAGCAGAGGGTCTTACTGACACAGAGGGAGACTTTGGACGGTCTGTGGGAGAAAACATACACACATTTAATTTCAAGATGAGTTTTCACAGTGGAAGATATTTTTTAATTAATAATAGTTCATTAGAAAGTGGCAGGTGGAACTTGATTTACTTTTGTATTAGAAACTGACGAAGAAGAGTAAATATACTGTTGAATGCTTAATAATGTTTTTATTTATGAATATTTTCACCTTAACTAAAACTCATGGTGAATGTAAACACATGCAGCTTTGACTTTGACCAGAGGTTGGAGCCTTTATGTAGGATTTGCTTAAAGGTAAGCTTCAGGTAATAAGAATCATGTGTGTGTGGAGAGCAAACCGTTTTTTGACTGCTTGACGTTTTGCTGAAAGACAACTGGCATTGTGTTCATAATACTTTGGTACGCATACATGCGATTCTGTCAAAAAAATATTACTATCAAAAGATAATGAGTGCACACATTGGTCACTACACATATTTAGAAGGAGAGCGATAATCTTCACGTCATTTAACACATTTTTCCTTTTTTATTCTGTAGACTGCAGCTGTTATTGTTGAAATATATCTTATTATCTATATTTTAAATCAGACTGAACAAAATCTACAGCCCATAAACATCTTATGAATATAATTCAGAAGACACAGGAAATGAAGACACTGAACCAGGATCTTTGGAGACTGACAGGTCTGCTGGCGACCTCTGGTGGGTAAATAATAAAGAACGAGTGCAATCATGTAATGTCAGTGAAAGACTGTAAGTCAACTCACACACTGAAGGAGAGGGGAAGTTCTCATATCCCTTCAAAGCACAGGAATAATTGTCTGCAGGACCATAACTGAAGTCTGCATAAGAAGATGTGTCTTCCTTTACTTCCTGTCTGTTCTTAGACCAGATGTAGGAAGTTTGACCAGATGGACAACTGCTGAGACATTGAAGGCGAGTAGACCAACGTGATCGGCTCACTTGCACCTGGAGATCTGAATGCAGGTAGAAATATATAAAAAAGATCAATCATGTTTATGTATAGAAATGAAAATAAAATGTTAAATGTTTGAGGACATTTTCAGATACCTGTGACGGACAAAGTGACTGGAAGACCCGTGTATGCATCTAGGTTTGTTTTGATCCTGAACTTGTACACAGCTGAGTCGCTCTCTGTCAGGTTTTTGATTCTCAGAGTGCAGATGTCGTTTTCACAGAGATCCTCGTCTACACGACCTGCATACTCTGAGACTGTGGTCAAATCTACAGGTTCACCATCTTTCTGTTTAGTGAACCAGAATGTTTTCTCCACTGTGTTTTCACTACCTTTCCATATGGATGGGTATGTGTAGCTGCAGCTTATCTCCACTGTTGATCCTTTCACTGCACAGATCTCAGTAGAAGTGCAAGTCACTCCCCACTCATCCTGACCCTGAACCACTGTAACACAGAGCACATCAAAAACTATAATCAAAGTTAATTAATTAAATTAACAATTAGTAATGGATACAATTATGAAAATAGATTTGGGGTAAATGTAACCAGGAGAAGCTTTTACATCTCCGAGTATCAGCAGTTATTATCATAAACTCTAACTATAACTATAGCTGAACTGAAAATTAGAATTTTACGAGATATTTATCAGAGTTCATCATTGTAGGGATGCAGGAATACCTAAGGATAGAATAGAGGACGTACATGTTGCCTGTGGGAAAGAGAAACTCCTTCTGAAGGGAACACAGGGATTGTAGCCTGCAGACTATTTACATGCACATAAACCTATATAACACACTACAGAAGACCCCTTTCCTTTTGAATTTACATCATCAATTCATGTTCAGGGATCACATTAATTATACAGGTCTGTGCTTTTCTTGTTCAGTTTCCTCCTTGTTCACTCTGTGTTCAGGGTGCTGAGGACTTAAGTGTTCATTGTAAATGTAAATGCAGAACACTGAGTGAGCTGCTTCTCTCTGATATACAGATAAGACAAAAGCTGAGGACTGCTATCAACTCAGAGTGAGGAAATAAAGCACTGATGTCAGAGATTAGAGAATGAACGAACAGCATTTGGTTCAGAGGTATGGCGACATAAGGGAGGTTGAGAGACAGTACGTAATGTCTTAAGGAATTTGAACACAGTTAATTAATGCAGAATACAACAGAAAAGTACATTGACCAACACAGGGAAAGATATTCCCAATATCCATTACAAGTGTCACAAAAAAAACATTTTTAGGTGTTTCCAAATTCTATACACAATTTAAATGCATTGCTTTTGGGAAGTTTGAATTTCATAAAACTCAGATCTACTCATTTACACACATGATTTGCTTTGAATGTAAGTGTAGATGTACAGTACCTGACACAGAGAGCAGGAAGACAACTAATCCACTCGCTGCTGCAGTTAAACTCATAGCTGCTCGTCTCATCTCTGTGAGACTATAAAACATGTCAGATTAAATAATGTTCACAGGAGGTATACAGAATCATTACATCAATAAACTGTTTCTACTCACAGTGAAGGAGGAACCATGTGTTCAAAGATGTCTTTCCTCTGTCACCAATGAGCAGAAGACGGATATCAGGCTGGTTAACAACCACATTTCCTTCCTCTTTAGATAATTAATATGCATGATGAGCCATATGCCAGTCACACCCATCACATAGGAAAGGTGTGTTTATCTTGCACGCTCAAAACATAACGAAACAGACTAAAGTCACAAGAAAAAACACTTTCTGCCAATATACCACTGACACCTGAAAAGAGCATTTTAAATGATAAGGGTAAAAGAGTTGATCTCTATGAGCACTGAGGAAGTCACACAGTCTGCAGGTGTAGTGAAGGAACAGGAATGCATTAACCTGTGAAACCACGAGGCAGTTTTACTGAACAGGATGAAGAGCACAGTATTGATTATAAGAGAGACTGGAAAATTACATATCATTTTTTCTTGGTTTGATTCTTATCTCTGTGGTCAGGTTGCTTCTAAGAAATGCAGAACACTGAGACAAACTTAGTGGCAAACCAACATGAACATGTCACCACATAATCAAGTGAACTGGTATGGTTAAGAAGACACATTATGGGGATATGTTGATGTTAATTAGAAAGACAATTTTAAATGACTTGGGCTTGTTTGGGTTGATAAGTTAAATAATATGCAAGCAGATATGTCCTATATTTTAAATTGAAATAAAACGACCCGACACCATGCAGCAAACTTTATTATCAATTATCTGCATGTTTAGATACCAATGGAGGTAAGAGAGGAAATAAGTATTTTTGTAGGTTGGGTTAACTGATCTTTTAAAGCAGACGGTGGAGTGATACGGAGGGATGAAGCCTGAATGTGCCACACTTAAGATCCCCCACTAGAGGACAGTGAAACATCAGATACTGAATCAGGACCCTGAAACACATTTGATATCCATCAAGACTGCAGCATAGATTGTAGCTTAACCAAAACTATTTCCGTCACTGAAGAGCAGGACTGTGGCTGTGCTGTGATCACACACTTTACTCACCCAGTAAAGAGGCACTTCAATATTTAAATCTGCCTGTTTTCACCTTGTTGGCAAATAATGGACTTTCATAATTTTGTCATCTGTTTGCAGTGTTTTCTTACCAAGCGAACGCATGCAATTCCAACTATTTTATCATCACATGTTATGGCATTAGTATGGACAAGAGTTGTGGTGAGTCTCTTTTATTCACAAAAACATTACAGAACAGAACAAGAAAAATATAAACACGTGAAATACAGAACAAAGAGAAGATTAATTGCAACAGGTGGAAACAACGAAGCAAGATAAACAATTGTTATCAGCTCTGGAGGTCTTTTTTCAAAAAATCTTCACCAATTTGACAACATGTAAAGCATTGAGCTGCAAATACTCAAAGCACAACAAATGATGATGATGGACACATCGGCAGGGCCTTCGTGTGCTGCACTTCCACGGAGGACAGCGGTTTTCATGACGTGCTCAGCATAGTCCTCTCTGACGATTTCTTTGCTCACATCCTGTCAAAACATGTGAATCGGTGTTGAGATACACTATACTGTACATGTTTTCTTTGAAGTGACTGAATATGCAAAAGGTGATTCATTAGGTTAAAGCGGCCATTTAATAGGGCTGAACAATCAATCAAAATGTTATCGAAACTGCAATATTGCCTACAACAATTTTCAAATCGCAGCAGGTGCAATATTTGTAAAAGGAAAAATGTGTGTCAACGTAGCATTTTAAATGTAATATTGTCGTGCTGCAGAGATGCCTACACATCATATTCTACAGTCTAAAGAAAACATTTTTGTTTGCTACAAATCCTCGCAAAAATCACACCATGATCATTTTAATATTTTTCAATGAAAATGAGAATAATGATGATCATCTCCTGATATCGCAATTGCAATATCAGTTAAAATAATTGCAATTAGATATTTTTCAAAATCGTTCAGCCCTAATATTTAACTAACTATTGATGTTATAGTTTCCTTCCTTTTGTAGATAAAGACGGGGTAAGTTATGTAGGGAATTTGTAGTCACTTTTATTTATTGGTTAAAAAATCTGCTTTGTTCCAAGCAGGAAGTAAAAGCTGGTATAGTGCTGGATTCAGTGTAGCAAAAATGAGGTGGGATCGGAGGTTTAAAGGCTCAAATCTTCAATTCTACTGAAAACCAAATTATGAATCAGAATGTAAAAGAAGATCATTAGAAAAATAATGAAAAAAATAATGAATGGAATAAAGTAACATGTTTGCTTTTATTTTAAATATATTAAATACCAATTTATTTAATCTAAATGTTAAACTTAATTAAAAGGACATGCCTTTTCCACATACTGGCATGAGTCACTAACTTGTAGAGATATCCATGTACAAATATTGAAGAATAGACAACATGTTTATGGATACAACAATCATCAGAACACTTACCTGGTAGTCTTTGATGAGTTCCTCTGTAGACTCTCCAAGGAACTCCATCAAGCAGTGGATGATGGCATCTCGTCTATCTTCTACATGTTGCTGTTAAAACCGACAAGTACATTATTGTAGAGAGAAAGCAAAATATGTTGCCTAATGGTCAATTGAACCTGCTACAAAAGAAGGCTCCAACTAAGTGCAAGGATGCAAAGCAGGATCAAGCTGTTCAGGGCCATGTTGAGAATGTTTCCTGTGTCTATGAGTAACAAAGGTTGAATATATGTTTGTACTGAAGCTGCAATCTTTGAATACACACGCAACTACTTCAAACTTCCTCAAATGGCTACCAAGATGTTCAAGATATATCCTCCCTGAATGAAAACAACTAGAATTGCATAGTAGACAATTAAATGAAAGACCTGGTGTTACTGACTCTGTGTGCTGTCGGGACAAATGGGCACGAAGGGCATTACATGTTTTAAACGAACAAGGGCAATCTGTATAAAGACAAAGGACTGAGTGGCAGCGGCCACCATTTACATGTTTTAGCCTGTAGTGCTTTAACAATCCTATCCTTTTGTTCGATTTAAAGCTACATATTTTGCACACCCCTCTGGTGGAAACTGAAAAAAACACAAATTATTTCAATCTTTAAACCTCTTGAAACTAAACCATGTTACAAAAACATTTCTATGTCAACTTAAACTTCTAACAGTACTGAGTTGATCAACTTACTCTGCATTAACTGTCAAAGACGAAATTGCTGAATGACTCAATTTCCCTTAATATACATTCAGAGCAATTTTTCTCATGTAAAATGTAATTTAAAAAATAATTCTATCACACATGTATACATACAACTTGTCACTGCATTCAAGGCTAATCAATACGCAAAGTAAAAATAACTTAACAATAATACTTTTATCCAAAGTACAACCTTTCAATACAATGACAGACCTCAGGTTCTTCATAACTGCTTTACCCATAGCTTCTTAACCTCATTGTGTTTTTCCAATTTTAGTAAATGTATCACTACATTTTAATAGACAGGATGCATTACTAAACTGGACCCTTTATCACAACTGTGAACATCAGGCTCATAGCCATTTACAAAAGTAGTTTGTCAAAGGACACATTATAAAAAAGCTGGAACATTATCTGTGTTAATTTAGTCTGGAAATATGTCCTTACACATATAGTCTTAAATTTAAATAATACACTGTCAACACCACTTTGCTGCTTAGAGTTGACATGCTGGCACATATGCATTTCTAATAATTGTGTTTGTTAATTATAACCACGAAATGTTGAGATACAGCCAGGTGAAGTGGTCTGTGGCTACTGAGTCTTTTTTACTATCATTTTCTTTGTGTTGTACCAAAGTACAAAAGATACGTGATTAAATATCATGCACATTATTAAACATTATACATTTAAGACGATTAACTGTCAGTAGCACTTGTCCATCTATTTTATTCATAGATTATTTTCTGACAATTTGGAACTCATACTAGACATTCACTGTCATCATGGTTTACAGCTTACCCGACTCCACTCAGACAGCAGCATTTATACCTCTCTGAGCTCTGCCACACCCTATCCCTTCCTCCGCCACCCAATGCACACTAAACGCTACTTAAAGGCTGTGCTAATCTGCTATTTTTCGACAGTATTTACATTTAGCTTTGGTTTGTATGGTGTTGACTGAAGACTAAGTGTGACCACATGACTTATCGATGTGACTGAAATTTGGTCGGTAACAGATTAAGAATGTTGGTTTTGACGACTTTTCAATTTACCTAGCCCTACACAATATACAATTATTTGTAAAGTTACCTCCATGGTCAGGTGTCTTGTCTTGCTGCAGAGACTCACTGCTGGAGGCAACACCAACCATCAAATGCAATGTTGCCTAAGAACAAAATTGAAAAGGGAAGGGAACAGATAAGCATGATTAGCTAACATAATGCAAGCACATCTGGTCAGCCCTATATCATTAAAGTCACTGTTACTATAGAATAAATTGCAATTAATATAAAGTTGCAATTAATATAAAGTTGAATACAGTAAAAAAGGGTGAATATATATATATATATACAGAAATTACATACATACAGAAATTGTATTGTTATCAGTGGCGGCAGTCAATTTCTCTTGATGTGTTTGCAAAATATATTTTTCTGTCCTCAAAAATGTTCAATTGCGCACTCAATAAAATGTTCAATGCTCAAAATGTTTCATTGCATGCTCAGGATAGAGGCACAAAAATAACGCCATTGTGTGAGGAGGACCTGCTGCAGGATTTCCGCCCCGTGTAGCGAGTGATTTTAGGATCAAACATTCAGAGTGCATTTTGGACTTCTGAACACTTTGTTTGCTGGGAGAAATGTTTTAACACTAAAAACTTAGTCTGAAGTGTTTCTGCTGATTCAGTCTCCGTGTGTCAGCAGTCTCTGCCGTCAGAACAAAGTGAACACATCGGGCCGAGGCAAACACTCAGACACACTCACCTTTTAAATCGCGCTGTTCATATTTAACTGTAAATATAATATTCCTTGACCACTTTTTACTTCTCTAGGCTGCAGTGAAACTGACCGCATCACGTAGCGTCGCACATACTGTTGAGTATTTCTTTTATCGAGCTGGAGCCATGAACACCCCCCTCCCCCTGAAATAAAAAACGATTAAAATGTTTTTAAAAATCTATGGAGGGCGCCAGTGCCATAGTTTCCATTATAAACTGCGAATGTCGTCCTAGCCGACAACTTTGAAGCTTCAAATAAGCCAGTAAAAAATATATATTATATCTGATGTGTTCAACTTGCATGAAACTGGACTAAGTTTGCTAGCACGATAACGAGCTAGTTAGCGGGCTAATCTGTCGGCTAATGTTAGCTAACTTAGCCTTACATTTTTAATAACCAAATACTGACTTCAGCTGACAAGCTAACAGGAATGTAACAAGTTAACCAAGCACATAAACATACTCACATGACTCCACATCCACGAATATTCACATGAAATGGTTGACCAAGCAGTCTTCCACTCAAATGTCAACCTTCTGAGTCCTGGACTGTCCGTGTCTGTGGGAGCAACTTGCGCGGGAACAAACTCTCCTCTCTCTGACGTCACCCACAGTTAACTTGCAAATGCCACACAGAGAAAGAAGTACAAGACAAATATGATTCTCACTCTGTTGTCAATTAATTACGCATGACCACAGCAAATAGTATGCTTTGAATTAGTGATCTATTCCAAACATTTAAATCCCTTATTTCCTTGTCAAATCAGGTGGAATGTATAATATGGAATATCCTCTTATATAAATATTTTTATTTTCTTCTCCAGATGCTCCCAGAACCAATTTTTCCCAACGACTTCTGCTCAGTTGTGCCCTGACCATCTCAACTTTATGTCCTGTGACACTGATACTGTTGAGCTCATAGAGGGAAGCCGCCACCGTGAGGAGAACTTACAGCAAAAACGCCATCTAACATCTCAATAAATGGCCTTGTCTTTAACTTGATATTCTGTTCTGAAGTAGCGGAGAGGAAGCCCACATATGTTTTTTCCATTAGCTTAACAAAACAGAGATAACTCTTACCTTATGCAAAGGGAAAAATATGTTCTCTTTACTGTACAAGAGATGATATAAAGGTCCCCTTTCTGATTGGCTGAAACACCAAACAGATCATTGCAGCATCCCATAATCTTCTCTGTTTCAGCCCTGTTTCAAAAGTGCTGATTCTGTGTCTGTAGCTTTAAATGCTAATGAGCTGCTGCTGGCCACGCCCCTCTGCGAGATGATTGGTTGAAAATAACCACAATGGTGCTCTAGGAGGAGAGTCAGGTGATAAGGTGGGGGCGGGGGGGTTACCTTGGTTGGTTATTGGCTAATGGATACATAATCCAAAAAAACATGTGGCCAAAATCTGATCCGCTAATTTAAGATGTACAAGGTTTTTATAAAGATGGATCAGGACAAAAAGAGAGAAAACAATGTTCCTGAAACTTTCAGAGTCTGTTCAGACAGAGGGGACATACTGTATATGATGTATTAAAGACATGAATAAGTATATTTTGCACAATAGTTTATCTTTAATTGCTATGAGCACTTGCAATGTAAAAGAAAGAAAACATTTTGACCCCTCTCTCGCATCAAGGATGAAAACTGCACACTCTTGTTTGCCTCATAAGTGACTGAAACAAAACAAGCTCATAGGTTTGTGTATGTAGCTGAATGCATAAAACGTACCTGCCACAACACTCAGGTGAAAGGTGGAGTTACTACGTCCCATTTTGTTCTGGGCTCCACAGGAATAGTTCCCACTGTGTTCAGCTCTGAAGTCAGTGATGGTGAAGATCTGTCCTGAAGCTTTTGGAGAGTCTTCATTCTCCTTGTACCAGGTGTAGCTAACTGCTGGGTTAGCATCACTGCTACAGGTCAGAGTCACTGAACTGCCCTCCTCTATCTCAGCAGAGGGACTCACTGACACAGAGGGAGGCTTTGGAGCATCTGGAAAAGGATATGGACGATAGTATTCAAATATTAAGACATGTTATCACACATGATTGACTTTTTTTATAATAAATGTAAGTTCATCTTTGGTATTGTTATATTGTAATGTAGATCCTTGTGCTGTCACAAATGAGACTCCATTCCATTTACGTTTCTTGCACTATTTATTTTTATTTTCTTGCACATTTTGCAACATTCTCTTGCACTATTGTATTTCTATTCTGTTATTTCTTTCACTATTTTCATTTTATTTGTTTTATCTTGAATCCTGACAGCCAATTACACAACTTTTTTTTTAAGACTGAACACAATTCTTTCTTTATCAGTCTCATATTATTGTGACATTGTATCAATGCATGTTTCAGCTGCCACTCTAAAGCCCTTATGTGGTGCTTTTCATTCTGCAGTAATGTACATTCCCAAAGATATTGATATTGAAGTGACTGTTATTTTGTATATATTGATTGTTGTGTTTTTTTATCTTAATGTCTGCATATGTAAAGTGTCTGTTGACTGTGTATATATAGGATATGTATATTTTATACATATTTGTATACATATCTGTATATTGTATAATTGTATTTTTGTGTTCGGGATTGTTGGAAATGTCATTTCGATCTCTCTGTCTGTAAACACCAACTGAAAGATTGACATTAAAGTTGACTTTGACTGCACAAACTACAATTGTAAATAATCATAATACTTATCATAGTGAGCTGTATAACATATCTTTGTGTAAGGCATGATTGACACTGAGTTTTATTTAGTATTAATAATATTTGTTTACCCACTTTGACTGCTTCCTTGTTGTCCTTTAATTTATTTATTAATAAATAATGTTAATTAATGGCTGTTTTAACCGAGGTTGCAAAATCAAGTTTCTATAAATAATACACCTGCCTCCATATTAACATTCAGGAGAGTTAAGGTTAAATCTGATAAAGTAATTGTATTGTAATGCCAGTGTGTGTGTGTGTGTGTGTGTGTGTGTGTGTGTGTGTGTGTGTGTATATATACGAGTTAACTCACACACTGCAGGAGAGGGGAACTTCTCATGTCCTTTCAGAAGCACAGGAATATCTGTTTGCAGAACCAAAGGTGACTAAACGAGTAGAAGATGTTCCTGTCCGAGTTTTCTCTCCGTTCTCGTACCAGATGTAATGATCAGAGGGTACTCGACAACTGCTCTGACATTTCAGCTCTGCCCGGTTAGTATATTTGGGTTCAACCTGCACCATGAGATCTGAGGCCTGTACTACGAAGCTGGATTTTCACTTAGCCGGCTAAATTCAGGGAAATCTCGGGCTTTCCGGTCCTACGACGCTGGTTCTCTTTTTAGCAGGCTAGATTTCCATGGTAACTTATGCTGAGCGGCAAACCTGCTCCGGAGCAGGTTAGGTGGCAGGCTAAGAGATAAACTCAGTGAAAGCACTGCCTGCTGACCAATCAGAGCTCCGTGTGCGATCAAGTCATATTACAGGATAGAGGAAATACAGAAAAACTGCCGTTGCAGGAAAGACGGCCGGCCAAAATCAACTGACTGTGTGAACGTGAAAATTAATAGAATATCCCCTCCCATCTTCAGAGCAATCTGACTATTATAATATTAGCGTTAAGAAAGCTTACTTAAATATCTGCCACGACATAAGTAACCGGATCAGAGTAACATTAAGTACAGTCCGCGGCACTGTGAGTGCAGACGTCGATGTGTGCCATTATCATTCATATCATATCACATCATAATGTATCATATATTTCCTTATGAGTCAGCTTCTTGAGCCGTATCTGGCCGTGCAACACTCACAGTGTCACATACTGTATGCAGAAGTATTATTTTAAGCAACACATTAAGTTGACGAACCACTCGAGTCAAATTCTCCTAATTAAAGTCAGTTCCACTCGTGTCTTGGACGGGGCAGTGATTTCATAAACCTGTTAATGTACGCATTCAAACACTTTTTCTTTTACCAGCTGTATTCACCTTGCAGGTGCAGCTATGTAGCTTTTATCCTGGATAAAGTGTTTAAGACATGGATGTTTAAAGTTTAACTTCTTCATATTTGACTAATATTAAAGTTCACTTTTCATTCAGGAAGTATGACGCTGCGCTGTCAGTACGCTTGTCCGTGTTTGAGATTGGTCGAATGCTCCAAATACCACCCCTTTCATGTGAACGCGCACCTAACTAGATAGGACACGGCTGGCTTGAGCGATCCACTTGATAACCGGCGTCGTAGTACAGCTTAGCGCCAGCGCGTATGTTTTGGCTTAGGCCAACCGGCTAACTCCAACATATCCAGGTTAGGTTGAACCAGCTTCGTAGTACAGGCCTCTGGATTTGAGAAGATGGAACGTAATTGTTTTTTTTCAGACAAAACTGTCAACATGCATTGATACACATTTATATTATTGTTTTCTATATTGAACATTCAGATATATTGTAGCACCTCACATTGCAACAATATTGATTTCAATTTGTAAAAAACTGCAATGTACATGAAATAAAATAGATGCTTTCAGGCAAAACAAGACGGTGATCAGGATTTTTCAAATGTTATTTATTATGAAATTCAAAATACAAAATGTCCACAAGAACTCTTATCCTATACTTCTGTATATTCACAAATTCCACAGATAAAAAATCAGCATGCATATTTAAAGCAGTATGTTAAAGCACCTGACCAGTAGCTGACCTTAAAACACATCATGTTTGACACCTCGACATGATTCACTTCAAGCTGCCAGCAGCTCATTCTTATAAACCTACATGCTAATAAACTCCAACCTGCTGCTGCTACTGAAAACTGACAATAAAAACTTTGGGAGTAAATATATAAATGTAAATATAAGAAAATCACAGAAACTTTGTGTAAAGTTACAGCTGGAACTGTGATCTTAAATGTGGAGTGGGCCTGTTTGATCTGATGCAGGAGGCTCTAACCTGACTGGACTTCACACCATGTCTCCCTGCTCCTCTGTGTCTTTTGTCTGTGCTGCAGTGTCTGAGTCGTTCTCATACTCGGGGATAGAGCAAGACATCAGGCTCTTTATCATGAACTGTATATATTATCATAAACTATCAAAAATGTAATACATTTGAAGTCATTGTTTTATGACCAAATGCATTACTGGTTTCCACTCAGCAAGTTGTCAACAAAACACAGGTGCATTTAACTCCTCTTTTTCAGAGCATTTATGGGACAAATTATAACCTCTCCCTCACACCTCTATCTCTTCAGGTTCACGTGCTTCAGTGGTGGAGCTCAGAGCTTTCTTCTTCCTGGATTGAAAACAACAACAAGTGCAGAATTCATGACATTGAAACTTGTGGATGTTATAAGAGAATAAATAAATGGTTGATGAACTGATGTATTTCTAGTCTTGTACCTGATCCACAGACTCAGGAGACACACAGGAATCAGCATCAAGACCCCCAGAGTCGTCATGATAATCACTATCATTGTTGAACTCCCTAGAAACGTGATTACATATGTGATACACCTCAGTAGTAGATTAATATATCCCTTCAGTCAGTGTCATCCACTTCTAACACCATGGACGTTTCTCCCTGAACAACAACAGTTTTCAGTTGTTTGAATCAATTCTGGTGAATGTAGAGAACTTACCTGTTCCAACACTCAGATGAAAGGTGGAGTTACTATGTCCTAACTTGTTCAGGGCTCCACAGGAATAACTCCCACTGTGTTCAGCTCTGAAGTCAGTGATGTTGAAGATCTGTCCTGAAGCTTTTGGAGAGTCTTCATCCTCCTTGTACCAGGTGTAGTTAGCTGCTGGGTTAGCATCACTGCTACAGGTCAGAGTCACTGAACTGCCCTCCTCTATCTCAGAGGGACTCACTGACACAGAGGGAGGCTTCGGAGCATCTGGAGATTCAGAGAGACCCATATCAATCACATCAGGATGTGATGAATGTTTCAAATGTTAAAATGGCTTTGTCACATGTTGCATTTCAGAGTTATGACCTGCACTTTGTGGAGCAATACCTTTCAATACTATGATTTTTGTTAAATATACAACGCCACATGAATATTAAACTATTTATTTCATTGTTGTTAACAAATAAAGAGTAACAAGTGACCCAAGAACTCTCCAGCTACATGGCATGCATCCTTTACTGCTGGGTCGCCGTCTCATCAGAACTGCTGATGTTTTATACTCACACTGGACATCTATAGAGAGAGAAGAAGACTTGATCCCTCCATATTGATTCTCAGACTTGCAGTAGTAGATCCCTCTGTCCTCAGAGCTGATGGAGGTGAAATGATAACTTCCTTCTGCTCCCTGAAACACTGTTTGGTTCTCCTTGTACCAGATATAGTTAGCTGCTGGGTTAGCATCACTGCTACAGGTCAGAGTCACTGAACTGCCCTCCTTTATCTCAGCAGAGGGACTCACTGACACAGAGGGGAGCTTTGGACCATCTGGAGGAAAGAAAAATGAGTACAAATACAGACTGTGAACAAAGTTGTCACTGGTAGCATGATGCTTTTCAAATAATCTGCGTTTTACTCACATTTAACATCAATAAAGATGGATTCAGATCTTGTACTCCCAAGCAGATTCTCAGCTGTACAGTAATACTGTCCAGAGTCAGAGGACTGGATGGAGCTGAAGATAAGACGTGGTTTCTCATTGAGAGGAGGAAGGTAAGAAGATCCATCCTCCTTGTACCAGGTGTAGTTAGCTGTTGGGTTTTCATCATTGCTACAGGTCAGAGTCACTGAACTGCCCTCCTCTATCTCAGCAGAGGGAGGCTTTGGACGGTCTGTGGGAGAAAACATACACAGATTTAATTTCAAAATGAGTTTTCACAGTGGAAGATATTTTTTAATGAATAATAGTTCATTTCAGGTGGAACATGATTTACTTTTGTATTAAAAACTGACGAAGAAGAGTAAATATATATATTAACTAAAACTCATGGTGAATGTAAACACATGCAGCTTTGACTTTGACCAGAGGTTGTAGCCTTAATGTAGGATTTGCTTAAAGGTAAGCTTCAGGTAATAATAATCATGTGTGTGTGGAGAGCAAACCGTTTTTTGACTGCTTGACGTTTTGCTGAAAGACAACTGGCATTGTGTTCATAATACTTTGGTACGCATACATGCTATTCTGTCAAAAAAATATTACTATCAAAAGATAATGAGTGCACACATTGGTCACTACACATATTTAGAAGGAGAGCGATAATCTTCATGTCATTGAACACATTTTTCCTTTTTTATTTTATAGACTGGAGCTGTTATTGTTGAAATATATCTATTTGAAATCAAACTGAACAAAATCTACAGCCCATAAACATCATGTAAATATAATTCAGAAGACACAGGAAATGAAGACACTGAACCAGGATCTTTGGAGACTGACAGGTCTGCTGGCGACCTCTGGTGGGTAAATAATAAAAAAACAGTGCAATCATGTCATGTCAGTGAAAGACTGTAAGTCAACTCACACACTGAAGGAGAGGGGAAGTCCTCATATCCCTTCAAAGCACAGGAATAACTGTCTGCTGAATCATAACTGAAGTCTGCATAAGAAGATGTGTCTTCCTTCACTTCCTGTCTGTTCTTAAACCAGATGTAGGAAGTATGACCAGGTGGACAACTGCTGAGACACTGAAGGAGAGCAGAAGATCCTGATCTGCTCATCTCCACCTGGAGATCTGAATGCAGGTAGAAATATAAAAAAAAGATCAATCATGTTTATGTATAGAAATGAAAATAAAATGTTAAATGTTTGAGGACATTTTCAGATACCTGTGACGGACAAAGTGACTGGAGGACCCCAGTATGTATCTCGGGTTGTTATGATCCTGAACCAGTACTCAGCTGAGTCGCTCTCTGTCAGGTTTCTGATTCTCAGAGTGCAGGTGTTGTTTTCACAGAGATCCTCTACACGACCTGCATACTCTGAGACTGTGGTCAGATCTACACGTTCACCACCTTTCTGTTTAGTAAACCAGAATGTTTTCTCAACTGTGTTTTCACCATCATCCCATGTAGACGGGTATGTATAGGTGCAGTTTATCTCCACTGTTGATCCTTTCACTGCACAGATCTCAGTAGAAGTGCAAGCCACTCCCCAGTCATTCTGACCCGGAACCACTGAAACACAGAGCACATCAGAAAGTAGAATCAAAGTTAATGACTTAAGTTAACAATCAATTGGTGAGAAAAAGTGGATCAAATGAATTATGATTTTGAGGTATATGTAACCAGGACAAGCTTTTAGATCTCCAACTATCAGCAGTCATTGCTATAACATTGTCTTTATCTTCATCTATTAACTAGAGCTGAACTGAAAATTGTATTTATCACAGTGATCATTGTTTGGACGCAGGAATATTTCCTAATTTTGTATCAACATTTATTTAAGAATTGGACCTTAAAAGGGTTGTTTATGTGTCAGATAAAATGTTTTAAAAATATAAAACATGTCACACACCTAAGGATAGGATAGAGGAGGTACATGTTGGCCAACAGTTAATTCCTTTTACAGCAGTTTACAACTGCTGCAATGAAAACGTTGTTATTCCTGAACCAAAACCGGTAGATTTGAAGTCCAAACACAGAGCTTTTCTTTGGTAAAAGATAGTCTGACGATGCCTTAAAGAGGATATATAATGCTCATTTTCAGGTTCATGTCAGTATGTAGTGTCTCTCCATGTCTCCATGCTTTAATGTTCAAAAAGTTCTTTATTGTTCTCATACTGCCTGTGCTGAAGCACCTCTTTTCACCCTCCAACCATTTTGAATGTACATCAATGAATGTTCAGGGATCACATTAATTATACAAGTCTGTGCTTTTCTTGTTCAGTTTCCTCCTTGTTCACTCTGTGTTCAGGGTGCTGAGGACTTAAGTGTTAAAAGTAAATATAAATGCAGAACACTGAGTGAGCTGCTTCTCTCTGATATACAGATAAGACAAAAGCTGAGGACTGCTATCAACTCAGAGTGAGGAAATAAAACACTGATGTCAGAGATTAGAGAATGAACGAACAGCATTTTGTGCAGAGGTATGGCGACATAAGGGAGGTTGAGAGGCAGTACGTAATGTCTTGAGGAATTTGTACATAGTTACTTTATGCAAAATACAACATTAAAGGAGGCGTGTGGCGCAATGGATAGAGCCTTGGTATGGGGATCAGATGGTCACAGGTTCAAACCCCACTGCAGTCAGCATGTCGTTGTGTCCCTGGGCAAGACACTTCACTCCAAATTGCTCCTGTGGGGATTGCCCACAGTATTGAGTATGTAAGTCGCTTTGGATAAAAGCGTCTAACAAGTGACATGTAATGTAATTAAAGTACATTGACCAACACAGGGAAAGATATTCCCAATATCCATTACAAGTGTCACAAAAAAACTGAACATTTCTAGTTGTCTCCAAATTCTATACACAATTTAAATGCATTGCTTTTGGGAAGTTTGAATTACACAAAACTCAGATCTACTCATTTACACACATGATTTGCTTTGAATGTAAATGTAGATGTACAGTACCTGACACAGAGAGCAGGAAGACAACTAATCCACTGGCTGCTGCAGTTAAACTCATAGCTGCTCCTCTCATCTCTGTGAGACTATAAAACATGTCAGATTAAATAATGTTCACAGGAGGTATACAGAATCATTACATCAATAAACTGTTTCTACTTACAGTGAAGGAGGAACGATATGTTCAAAGATGCCTTTCCTCTGTCGCCAATGAGCAGAAGATGGATATCAGGCTGGTTAACATACACAATTACTTCCTCTTTAGATAATTAATATGCATGATGAGCCATATGCCAGTAACACCCATCACATAGGAAAGGTGGGTTTATCTTGCACGCTCAAAACATAACGAAACAGACTAAAGTCACAAGAAAAAACACTTTCTGCCAATATACCACTGACACCTGAAAAGAGCATTTTAAATGATAAGGGTAAAAGAGTTGATCTCTATGAGCACTGAGGAAGTCACACAGTCTGCAGGTGTAGTGAAGGAACAGGAATGCATTAACCTGTGAACCACGAGGCAGTTTTACTGAACAGGATGAAGAGCACAGTATTGATTATAAGAGAGACTGGAAAATTACATATCATTTTTTCTTGGTTTGATTCTTATCTCTGTGGTCAGGTTGCTTCTAAGAAATGCAGAACACTGAGACAAACTTAGTGGCAAACCAACATGAACATGTCACCACATAATCAAGTGAACTGGTATGGTTAAGAAGACACATTATGGGGATATGTTGATGTTAATTAGAAAGACAATTTTAAATTACTTGGGCTTGTTTGGGTTGATAAGTTAAATAATATGCAAGCAGATATGTCCTATATTTTAAATTGAAATAAAACGACCCGACACCATGCAGCAAACTTTATTATCAATTAGCTGCATGTTTAGATACCAATGGAGGTAAGAGAGGAAATAAGTATTTTTGTAGGTTGGGTTGACTGATCTTTTAAAGCAGACGGTGGAGTGATACGGAGGGCCTGAATGTGCCACACTTAAGATCCCCCACTAGAGGACAGTGAAACATCAGATATTGAATCAGGACCCTGAAACACATTTGATATCCATCAAGACTGCAGCATAGATTGTAGCTTTACCAAAACTATTTCTGTCAGTGACGAGCAGGACTGTGGCTGTGCTGTGGTCACACACTTTACTCACCCAGTAAAGAGGCACTTCAATATTTAAATCTGCCTGTTTTCACCTTGTTGGCAAATAATGGACTTTCATAATTTTGTCATCTGTTTGCAGTGTTTTCTTACCAAGCGAACGCATGCAATTCCAACTATTTTATCATCACATGTTATGGCATTAGTATGGACAAGAGTTGTGGTGAGTCTCTTTTATTCACAAAAACATTACAGAACAGAACAAGAAAAATATAAACACGTGAAATACAGAACAAAGAGAAGATTAATTGCAACAGGTGGAAACAACGAAGCAAGATAAACAATTGTTATCAGCTCTGGAGGTCTTTTTTGAAAAAATCTTCACCAATTTGACAACATGTAAAGCATTGAGCTGCAAATACTCAAAGCACAACAAATGATGATGATGGACACATCGGCAGGGCCTTCGTGTGCTGCACTTCCACGGAGGACAGCGGTTTTCATGACGTGCTCAGCATAGTCCTCTCTGACGATTTCTTTGCTCACATCCTGTCAAAACATGTGAATCGGTGTTGAGATACACTATACTGTACATGTTTTCTTTGAAGTGACTGAATATGCAAAAGGTGATTCATTAGGTTAAAGCGGCCATTTAATAGGGCTGAACAATCAATCAAAATGTTATCGAAACTGCAATATTGCCTACAACAATTTTCAAATCGCAGCAGGTGCAATATTTGTAAAAGGAAAAATGTGTGTCAACGTAGCATTTTAAATGTAATATTGTCGTGCTGCAGAGATGCCTACACATCATATTCTACAGTCTAAAGAAAACATTTTTGTTTGCTACAAATCCTCGCAAAAATCACACCATGATCATTTTAATATTTTTCAATGAAAATGAGAATAATGATGATCATCTCCTGATATCGCAATTGCAATATCAGTTAAAATAATTGCAATTAGATATTTTTCAAAATCGTTCAGCCCTAGTATTTAACTAACTATTGATTTTATAGTGAAGTTAGCCTGCTAAGCGAAAATCCGGCTTCGTAGTACAGGGCTCTGGATTTGAGAAGATGGAACATAAATGGTTTTTTTCAGACAACACTGTCAACAAACATGCATTCATACACATTTATATTATTGTTTTCTATATTGAACATTCAGATATAAGTAACACAGATGGAAATGTTACCTGTGACGGACAAAGTGACTCCTGGTGAACCACCATATGCATCTTTGTTTGTTTTGAACCTGAACTTGTACTCAGCTGAGTCGCTCTCTCTCAGGTTTTTGATTCTCAGAGTGCAGATGCTGTTTTCACAGAGATCCTCTACATGACCTGCATACTCTGAGTCTGTGGTCAGATTTACTGGTTCACGACTATTTAATTTAGAAAACCAGAATGTGTTCTCCACTGTGTTAACACTGCCTTTCCATGGAGATGGGTATTTGTAGGTGCAGTTTATTTCCACTGTTGATCCTTTCACTGCACAGATCTCAGTATAAGTGTAAGTCACTACCCAGCCATCTTGACCCTGTACCACTGTAACACATCAAAAACCATAATCTAAATGAATGACTTGACTGAATGACTTGATTTAACAAACAGTTAATGAGACAATTAAGTTAATGAGACTCTCTCTAGGTCGTCCTCAGACGAGCCCTCCACTTCATGGTTGGCTTTACAATGCTGATTAAGGACTGGGGGGCGCAACTCCTCTCAGTCCGGAGCCTCGTCTCAATACCCCTCCTCGACTCCTCCTTTCCCTCACTCGCGTCCCTTCCTTGCGTCTTAGCTCCGCCTCCGTAAGATGCGAGCGAGAGACACGAGGAGGTGACGCGAGGACAGAGGAGTCCTCAGGTATTAATTGGGATGTCCTCGTTCACTCAAACGTCACTCTTAAACGACGTCTGTTAATGATGACATGTGCACAGCTGTATCCCCTCTCATTGGGTTTAACTGAATAACCTTTAGAACCGGCCCATTTATTGTTAAATATGTATTTAAATTATGAATCTTTCTCTTTTTAGTCAAGGAATTCAATGTATGATGGTTGGTCCTGCTTTTGTGTTCCGTTTTGGTGTAAAATGTACATTTCAATAAAATTATAATTATAATAATGTGAAAGCCTTTACTCTGAAAATGTGTGTCCTGTAGATCCCCACATTTACCACAAACCCACATTCAGGACTGTGAATTTTAAATAATTGAACTCCTGAATATCTTAACACAAAACAAAACAAATATTTTTTATTTATCAAGATCTAGCCATTTATGAAATAGCTTTCTTAATAGCTATGTTTTAGTGACGTTCAAGATCATTAAACATGACTTAAATTGTTAGTATAACCTTAAGAAATGAATTGCACATAATAATTCCCACGGAGCTGTGAGCACTTATACATTTATGTGACGCTTTTCCACTCATTCTTCCAGTTCTCCGTTTTCCTGTGTTGAAATCGACCAGCTGTGAAGGTGGGGGCGGGGCTTTTATACGCGAGTAGTGAAAACACTTCCGCGTAGTCTGCTCTTGTGTGTCCTCCCTTTCGTCTCCTCCCGCACCCCTCCTCCCTCACCCCTCCTCGACTCCTCCGTGTGCATTTCAGCTATTGGGACGTCCTTCAAAATGGCGTGTCTTGATCGATTTCCGGGTCAAGTCCCGGAGGATGGGAAGAGAGGAGTCGAGGAGGGGTATTGGGATGAGGCTCTGGTTTTAGTTTAGAGTGTCCTTCTCCTAGATGGGTTGCCTTCCATAACTATGAGCCCCATCTGCCCCAGCTATTTGCCCATAGCTGGGACAGTCGGTAGCACTTGGTCTTTCCGGGATTTGAACTGGTGACCTTCCAGTTGCCAAGCCAAGTCCCTATGGACTTCGCCACCACCGCTGCCAATAACAAGACAATTTCTTTTAAATTGCTTGAAAAATAATTCAGTTCATAAGTCAAAACATAATTTAAAAAGATGCATACACTCATTAGGTAAGAGTAATGTCTGAATTAAACTGAAGATTGAAAGACTCTGAACTTAAAGTTTTCGCTCAGTTTTACAAAATGAGTGCACTCAAAGATTTGAAAATGCCTTTAAAACAGAAACACTCAAATATTAGGGATCATATTTTTGAGAATGTATTGTGTTGAATATGTGTGACTCTCTTGTCCTGTGTCCTCTCTGTTCACTCTGTGGTCAGGTTGCTGCTGAGTTAAGTGTGAACAATACAAACAAATGTAGAACACAGAGGTGTGAGCAGCTTCTGTCTGATATACAGATAACACAGAGTGACTTTCAGTGACGTGCGGTGAGGTTCATGGCTGGTGAGGCACTGAGTCAGATTTACAAATATTATATTTTGACCTTAATCGAAATATTCGGTTATTTTCAAAAGCTTTTTTAGTCTGATGCTTCGATTCATTTTAAACAGACCGTTCAACAAAAGGATACCCAAAATCTAAATATTGGATTGTTCTTTCTTAGTAAGATCCCATTTTCATTACAAATGTGGTCTTACCTTGACTTGAAGATGAAGTCCATGCTATCCTTCTGGACAACAATCTCTATTACTTTTTTGTAAAAGTCCTCCTTATCTTCCTGTAGTTTCAAAAGTCTAGTTTGTTGTTACGTCTACCGTCTCTGCGTAGAATTACAGTAGCAACAAGAACCTGTGGGCTCACGTGCGCCCCCTTCAGTGCGGCAGAGGTTATGGCTGCCTCCCCTGGTGCATTTTCATTGCCGTTGAGAGCAGCGAGCCTAAATATCATATATACGTGAAATAAGTTATTTAGAGACTATGGATGGCGAGGATAAATGTAATAAAGGGATCTACATACATTACATTGGTGACCTACAGTGAGATGGTAACAGGCATGCGCTTAGGGCCCGCTTTCCAGCCAGTTTCTGTGGGGTGACGCATTCTGAGGTGAGGCAGATCTCATCTGTGCCTCAACTCAGCCCACAGTAAATGGCTTGAGCGCGCTCACAAAATAAGTGCCCGCGCTACATTAGTGCCCGCGCTCCAGCAAGTTACTGTGGGCTTACGAGAGGCAGAGCTCGCCCCTGCCTCACTTGTCATCGCTCCCGTAACGGAGCTCGGCAAATTTGCTGATTTTGACTATAAAAAGCGATTAGAATCATAGATAAATCACACTTACAACACAGATCAGTGGAGACATTTTATTATTATTACTATTTCGTTTTTCTTTAGTTGTTTTTCCGTTACATTGGAGTATGACAGGTGAGGCTCTGCCTCCCCTGCCTCCACTGACTGCACGTCGCTGGTGACTTTATATAACACTGAGGTCAGAGAGGAAAGAAGGAACTAGAAGGGTTTGCTGCAGAGGTATGGCGACATAAGAGAAGTTGAGGTAGTACGAGAAGACATAACCATGACAGAAGCAGACCCAACATAATACAGACATATAGAGTATTATATTTAAAAATTGAATACAAGTAATATGAAAACTTTCTCTGATGCGATCTTCACAGGAACATATCAGCTAAACATTAAAAAAATCCCTGTCCAGTATTCACTTTCACTATTTTAGTTGATTTGAGAGTTCTTCATTGTCCTGCATTAGTATTGTGCAAAAATAAACTAATAATCAGGGGTCATCTGTTTTCTCAATGATAAAGAAAGGCTTCCCTTCAAGAAAAAAGGTTGGGAACTGCTGTGTGACATGGTGACTTTTAATTAAATTGTTGAAGCAGCTAGGTAGGTTAAAGCACAATAAAATTCAACGACAAGAGTCAAACTAAAACAGCCAAAGATTACCTTAAATGAATAAACATGAATAAGAAGAATAAAAATGAATGTGATGAATGTAAGTGTAGATGTACAGTACCTGGCACAGAGAGCAGGAAGACAACTAATCCACTCGCTGCTGCAGTTAAACTCATAGCTGCTCCTCTCATCTCTGTGAGACTATAAAACATGTCAGATTAAATAATGTTCACAGGAGGTATACAGAATCATTACATCAATAAACTGTTTCTACTCACAGTGAAGGAGGAACCATGTGTTCAAAGATGCCTCTCCTCTGTCACCAATGAGCAGAATACGGATATCAGGCTGTTAAGAGACTAATTTACTTCCCGTTTAGACTATTAATATGCATGATGAGCCAAATGCCAGTAACACCCTCTACTCAGTAAAAGTGTTTTTATTTTTTACAAAGTAAATACTTTAAGAGAGGTGCAAAAAACGTATTTTGCCGCCAATATACCACTGAAAACTGAAAAGAGCATTCAAATGAAGAGAATAACAGTTGATCTCTATGAGCACGGAGGACGTCACACAGTCTGCAGGTGTAGTGAAGGAACAGGAATGCATTAACCTGTGAAACCACGAGGCAGTTTAACTGAACAGGATGAAGAGAACCAAATTAATTATAAGAGAGAATGGAAAATGCCATATAATTTCTCTTGGTTAGTTTCTTCTCTGCTCTCTCTGCGGTCAGGTTGCTTCTGTTTCAGAGAAATGCAGAACACTGAGACGTGAGAAACTCACATGCCTGTTAGTGTGAACCCAACATGAACACACACATCACACTCATAATCAAGTGGACTGGAAGGGATCAGACACACAATGGTCCGATAATTATTATTGGAGCTATTTATTGATTTTTATTAACTTTTCATATATATTTAACATGTTGATTTCAATTTTTTAAAAACTACAGTGTACATGAAATAAAATAGATGCTTTCAGGCAAAACAAGACGCTGATCAGGATTTTTCAAAGGTTATTTATTATAAAATTCAAAATACAAAATGTCCACAAGAACTCTTATCCTATACTTCTGTATATTCACAAATTCCACAAATAAAAAATCAGCATGCATATTTAAAGCAGTATGTTAAAGCACCTGACCAGTAGCTGACCTTAACAACAAATCATGTTTGACACCTCGACATGATTCACTTCAAGCTGCCAGCAGGGCAGTAAACCTACAAGCTGCTGCTACTTGAAACTGACAATAAAAACTTTGGGAGTAAATATATAAATATATACACTTTCCGCACATCCTGCACAGCCTCGCTCTCTACAGGGACATTTCAACGTGCTTCTTCTTTGTTTCCATCAGGTGAGCATCTGAAAGAAATCACAGAAACTTTGTGTAAAGTTACAGCTGGAACTGTGACTCTAAATGTGGAGTGGGCCTGTTTGATCTGATGCAGGAGGCTCTAACCTGACTGGACTTCACACCAGGTCTTCCTGCTCCTCTGTGTCTTCTGTCTGTGCTGCAGTGTGTGAGTCGTTCTCATAATCAGGAAGAGAGTCCAACTGATGAAGAGAGAGAAGACACAATCAGGCTCTTAATCATGAACTGTATATATTATGATAAACTATCAAAAATGTAATACATTTGAAGAAGATTATTTGAAGTCATTGTTTTATGACCAAATGCATTACTGGTTTCCTCTCAGCAATTTGTCTCCAAAACACAGGTGCATTTAACTCCTCTTTTTCAGAGCATTTGGGACAAATTATAACCTCTCCCTCACACCTCTATCTCTTCAGGTTCACGTGCTTCAGTGGTGGAGCAAAGAGCTTTCTTCTTCCTGGATTGAAAACAACAACAACAACAAGTGCAGAATTCATGACATTGTAACTTGTGGATGTTATAAGAGAATAAATAAATGGTGGATGAACTGATGATTTTATATTGTTGTACCTGATCCACAGACTCAGGAGAAACACAGGAATCAGAATCAAGACCCCCTGAGTCGTCCTGATGACATTCACTATCATTGTTGAACTCCCTAGAAACGTGATTACATATGTGATACACCTCAGTAGTAGATTAATATATCCCTTCAGTCAGTGTCATCCACTTCTAACACCATGGAGGTTCCTCCCTGAACAACAACAGTTTTTTTTCTTTGTAACAAGTTTTCAGTTTTGAGTTGCTGCATATCACAAAGAGAATCAGGTCTGGTGAATGTAGAGAACTTACCTGTCACAACAATCAGATGAAAGGTGGAGTTACTACGTCCTAACTTGTTCTGGGCTTCACAGGAATAACTCCCACTGTGTTCAGCTCTGAAGTCAGTGATGTTGAAGATCTGTCCTGAAGCTTTTGGAGAGTCTTCATCCTCCTTGTACCAGGTGTAGTTAGCTGCTGGGTTAGCATCACTGCTACAGGTCAGAGTCACTGAGCTGCCCTCCTCTATCTCAGCAGAGGGACTCACTGACACAGAGGGGAGCTTTGGAGCATCTGCAGATTCAGAGAGACCCATATCAATCACATCAGGATGTGATGAATGTTTCAAATGTTAAGATGGCTTTGTCACATGTTGCATTTTTGAGTTATGGCCTGCACTTTGTGGAGCAATACCTTTCAATACTATGATTTTTGTTAAATATACAACGCCAAATGAATATTGAACTATTTATTTCATTGTTGTCAACATATAAAGAGTAACAAGTGACCCAAGAACTCTCCAGCTACATGGCATGCATCCTTTACTGCTGGGTCGCCGTCTCATCAGAACTGATGATGTTTTATACTCACACTGGACATCTACAGAGAGAGAAGAAGACTTGATCTCTCCATATTGATTCTCAGACTTGCAGTAGTAGATCCCTCTGTCCTCAGAGCTGATGGAGGTGAAATGATAACTTCCTTCTGCTCCCTGAAACACTTTTTTAGTATACTTGTACCAGGTGTAGTTAGCTGCTGGGTTAGCATCACTGCTACAGGTCAGAGTCACTGAACTGCCCTCCTCTATCTCAGCAGAGGGACTCACTGACACAGAGGGGAGCTTTGGACCATCTGGAGGAAACACAATAAATTAACAAAAATGAGTAAAAATACATTATGTTGATAGAGCTAAAGAAAGCAATTGTGTTGTATATATATATTTAGTTTCCTGTATTACTGCTGGTTTGAATATCCTGAACATATGTGCAGATTTGGGAGCCATTTGTAAACAAAACTTCATTTTCATCCTCTACTGTAGCTGCTCTCCATCTCATTGACCTACAGCAGCAGACTGTGAACAAGTTGCCATTGGGTGCATGATGCTTTTTAAATCATCTGGGTTTTACTCACATTTCACATCAATGAAGATGGGATCAGATCTTCTACTCCCAACCAGATTCTCAGCTCTGCAGTAATACTGTCCAGAGTCAGAGGACTGGATGGAGCTGAGGACAAGAAGTGGTTTATCACTGAAAGGAGGAAGGTAAGAAGATCCATTCCTCTTGTACCAGGTGTAGTTAGCTGCTGGGTTAGCATCACTGCTACAGGTCAGAGTCACTGAACTGCCCTCCACTATCTCAGCAGAGGGTCTTACTGACACAGAGGGAGACTTTGGACGGTCTGTGGGAGAAAACATACACACATTTAATTTCAAGATGAGTTTTCACAGTGGAAGATATTTTTTAATTAATAATAGTTCATTAGAAAGTGGCAGGTGGAACTTGATTTACTTTTGTATTAGAAACTGACGAAGAAGAGTAAATATACTGTTGAATGCTTAATAATGTTTTTATTTATGAATATTTTCACCTCAACTAAAACTCATGGTGAATGTAAACACATGCAGCTTTGACTTTGACCAGAGGTTGGAGCCTTTATGTAGGATTTGCTTAAAGGTAAGCTTCAGGTAATAAGAATTGTGTGTGTGTGGAGAGCAAACCGTTTTTTGACTGCTTGACGTTTTGCTGAAAGACAACTGGCATTGTGTTCATAATACTTTGGTACGCATACATGCGATTCTGTCAAAAAAATATTACTATCAAAAGATAATGAGTGCACACATTGGTCACTACACATATTTAGAAGGAGAGCGATAATCTTCATGTCATTGAACACATTTTTCCTTTTTTATTCTGTAGACTGCAGCTGTTATTGTTGAAATATATCTTATTATCTATATTTTAAATCAGACTGAACAAAATCTACAGCCCATAAACATCTTATGAATAGAATTCAGAAGACACAGGAAATGAAGACACTGAACCAGGATCTTTGGAGACTGACAGGTCTGCTGGCGACCTCTGGTGGGTAAATAATAAAGAACGAGTGCAATCATGTAATGTCAGTGAAAGACTGTAAGTCAACTCACACACTGAAGGAGAGGGGAAGTCCTCATATCCCTTCAAAGCACAGGAATAATTGTCTGCAGGACCATAACTGAAGTCTGCATAAGGAGATGTGTCTTCCTTTACTTCCTGTCTGTTCTTAGACCAGATGTAGGAAGTTTGACCAGATGGACAACTGCTGAGACATTGAAGGCGAGTAGACCAACGTGATCGGCTCACTTGCACCTGGAGATCTGAATGCAGGTAGAAATATATAAAAAAGATCAATCATGTTTATGTATAGAAATGAAAATAAAATGTTAAATGTTTGAGGACATTTTCAGATACCTGTGACGGACAAAGTGACTGGAGGACCCGTGTATGCATCTAGGTTTGTTTTGATCCTGAACTTGTACACAGCTGAGTCGCTCTCTGTCAGGTTTTTGATTCTCAGAGTGCAGATGTCGTTTTCACAGAGATCCTCGTCTACACGACCTGCATACTCTGAGTCTGTGGTCAAATCTACAGGTTCACCATCTTTCTGTTTAGTGAACCAGAATGTTTTCTCCACTGTGTTTTCACTACCTTTCCATATGGATGGGTATGTGTAGCTGCAGCTTATCTCCACTGTTGATCCTTTCACTGCACAGATCTTAGTAGAAGTGCAAGTCACTCCCCACTCATCCTGACCCTGAACCACTGTAACACAGAGCACATCAAAAACTATAATCAAAGTTAATTAATTAAATTAACAATTAGTAATGGATACAATTATGAAAATAGATTTGGGGTAAATGTAACCAGGAGAAGCTTTTACATCTCCGAGTATCAGCAGTTATTATCATAAACTCTAACTATAACTATAGCTGAACTGAAAATTAGAATTTTACGAGATATTTATCAGAGTTCATCATTGTAGGGATGCAGGAATACCTAAGGATAGAATAGAGGACGTACATGTTGCCTGTGGGAAAGAGAAACTCCTTCTGAAGGGAACACAGGGATTGTAGCCTGCAGACTATTTACATGCACATAAACCTATATAACACACTACAGAAGACCCCTTTCCTTTTGAATTTACATCATCAATTCATGTTCAGGGATCACATTAATTATACAGGTCTGTGCTTTTCTTGTTCAGTTTCCTCCTTGTTCACTCTGTGTTCAGGGTGCTGAGGACTTAAGTGTTCATTGTAAATGTAAATGCAGAACACTGAGTGAGCTGCTTCTCTCTGATATACAGATAAGACAAAAGCTGAGGACTGCTATCAACTCAGAGTGAGGAAATAAAACACTGATGTCAGAGATTAGAGAATGAACGAACAGCATTTGGTTCAGAGGTATGGCGACATAAGGGAGGTTGAGAGACAGTACGTAATGTCTTAAGGAATTTGAACACAGTTAATTAATGCAGAATACAACAGAAAAGTACATTGACCAACACAGGGAAAGATCTTCCCAATATCCATTACAAGTGTCACAAAAAAACATTTCTAGGTGTTTCCAAATTCTATACACAATTTAAATGCATCGCTTTTGGGAAGTTTGAATTTCACAAAACTCAGATCTACTCATTTACACACATGATTTGCTTTGAATGTAAGTGTAGATGTACAGTACCTGACACAGAGAGCAGGAAGATAACTAATCCACTCGCTGCTGCAGTTAAACTCATTGCTGCTCCTCTCATCTCTGTGAGACTATAAAACATGTCAGATTAAATAATGTTCACAGGAGGTATACAGAATCATTACATCAAGAAACTGTTTCTACTCACAGTGAAGGAGGAACGATATGTTGAAAGATGCCTCTCCTCTGTCGCCAATGAGCAGAAGACGGATATCAGGCTGGTTAACAACCACATTTCCTTCCTCTTTAGATAATTAATATGCATGATGAGCCATATGCCAGTCACACCCATCACATAGGAAAGGTGGGTTTATCTTGCACGCTCAAAACATAACGAAACGGACTAAAAAAACTGCCAATATACCACTGACATCTGAAAAGAGCATTTTAAATGATAAGGGTAAAAGAGTTGATCTCTATGAGCGCTGAGGAAGTCACACAGTCTGCAGGTGTAGTGAAGGAACAGGAATGCATTAACCTGTGAAACCACGAGGCAGTTTAACTGAACAGGATGAAGAGCACAGTATTGATTATAAGAGAGACTGGAAAATTACATATCATTTTTTCTTGGTTTGATTCTTATCTCTGTGGTCAGGTTGCTTCTAAGAAATGCAGAACACTGAGACAAACTTAGTGGCAAACCAACATGAACATGTCACCACATAATCAAGTGAACTGGTATGGTTAAGAAGACACATTATGGGGATATGTTGATGTTAATTAGAAAGACAATTTTAAATGACTTGGGCTTGTTTGGGTTGATAAGTTAAATAATATGCAAGCAGATATGTCCTATATTTTAAATTGAAATAAAACGACCAGACACCATGCAGCAAACTTTATTATCAATTATCTGCATGTTTAGATACCAATGGAGGTAAGAGAGGAAATAAGTATTTTTGTAGGTTGGGTTGACTGATCTTTTAAAGCAGACGGTGGAGTGATACGGAGGGATGAAGCCTGAATGTGCCACACTTAAGATCCCCCACTAGAGGACAGTGAAACATCAGATACTGAATCAGGACCCTGAAACACATTTGATATCCATCAAGACTGCAGCATAGATTGTAGCTTAACCAAAACTATTTCCGTCACTGAAGAGCAGGACTGTGGCTGTGCTGTGGTCACACACTTTACTCACCCAGTAAAGAGGCACTTCAATATTTAAATCTGCCTGTTTTCACCTTGTTGGCAAATAATGGACTTTCATAATTTTGTCATCTGTTTGCAGTGTTTTCTTACCAAGCGAACGCATGCAATTCCAACTATTTTATCATCACATGTTATGGCATTAGTATGGACAAGAGTTGTGGTGAGTCTCTTTTATTCACAAAAACATTACAGAACAGAACAAGAAAAATATAAACACGTGAAATACAGAACAAAGAGAAGATTAATTGCAACAGGTGGAAACAACGAAGCAAGATAAACAATTGTTATCAGCTCTGGAGGTCTTTTTTCAAAAAATCTTCTCCAATTTGACAACATGTAAAGC